AATAGTAAGTGTTCTTTGCTTAGCGCACATCCTCCGCCACAACTATAAAACCGGAAATTTGGAAGTACCAGAAAATAAAAAACAACAAAAATAAATATCAGTTAATGTCGATTTGATGATTAAATCTGGACAATAAGAGTTTTATTCAATTATCACAAATAATCCACGGGAGACAACCACTATTTCGAAATGAAATGAGAAATGTTATTTGGACACAGGACACAATTATTCCTACGCTACTGCACTGGTTGTTAATAGTTCCCCCCCCCCCCACCATTAAGCTTTTGGTGTAAAATCGAAAAGAGGGGTTGGGTGTAGATATTCACGACCTTGAGGCAGAAGGATAAGAGAGTAGAGGTTGGTTACGTTGAAATGTAGGGCGTTTACTAGTATGCTACTAAAATTTCAATTTTTGTATCTCAAGATTTTCCTGGTAAACTTCATACTTGCTTTTAAGCAAGTGGTTGCCACATGTTGCTCCATCTGTTGTTGAAAGCCTTCAACCCCATAAAACGTTAGAGCCGGCCAAGGCGAATTTGGCGTTAGGTCGGGGGAACTACTCCGAAATTTGATAAAATCAGAAGCTTTTAGACAGCATTCTGCTCACTCAGGTGTATACTTATATAGGATTATACAAGGTATTTTTACAATTCATGATATAATCAACTAATCTGTACGTGTAATAAAAATGGCCACCAGACGTTTGTTTTCTTTAGAGACGGTTATATGAGATAGTGATTTTAGTTTGATCGTATTGTTGATATCTTAGATATATTTAAATTACACTTGATAAAAAAAACCCACACAGGTTAAGCTAATATTTGTTGCTGTTGCGAAACCATGCAACCAGTTAGTGATCAGCTATATATAGACAAGGAATATGTAAGGGGATTTTTTTAAATCGATAAAGGAAGTAGCTGTTCCGATGATTTTTTTTCTAGCGATATCCTAATCTTTTAGTCAAATTACCACGTCGTAGTTGGCGATAGTTAATAGATGTAGCCAAATAAATACATTTTTTGGACAATATGGAAGTGACGGTGAAAGAAAGACTTGGACAAGGAACCTTTGCCTCTGTTTATTTGGTAAAGACTAAATATTCTGATAACGATTACTATCAGGTTAGTTATTTTTAAGATCTAATGCGCACGTAATTTTCTTAACTCGGTAAAATTGTGTAGTGTTCTGGATTATGATTTACAATGTTGGTCTAATAAGTGGAATTACTGCGCAAATCTTTGTAGAAATAAGTACCATGTCATGTCAATTTGGCTAAGACTAGTAATTCCCTTCCCCAATTAGCTTCAGTGTTAGATCCATGACATTCATTGACCTGTAACAATTTTTTGTTGACTTTTCTACCAATTTAATTTTTATAACCGAATCCCAAGCGCTACTCATCGAGTTGTTCTTCTTGTTCTTATGTTTGGGCTTTGACAGTCTTCGAGCAAAGCCCAGGGCTCTGCCAATTCAAGTACCATCGACCTGAAACTTGGCATGCCTATTCCTTAGACAATTGCGCATCATGCGACAGACTTAGGCCAGGTTAATGTAATCTATAGGCTATGAAGGCAGAGAAAGACTATAAATAAAGTGGGATTACATTATCAGATGGGATAATGTATTGGTGTCCTGTGTCCAGAATGATGTCGTTGAGTCTCATCTGTAGGTAGAATTACGACCCTTCCTTAAAAAAATGACTTCCGTACTTGATGACCGAGTTTGAGAGCTTTACTGACTAATCTATCAAGAACAACAACATGCACATTTTGTTGATAGTTATCCTTTCAGTGTCATTGCCAAGTATAGATACCTGCAGGTTTTCACGATAAACCGTTTCGGTTTTAATAAGAGCGGTCATTGGATTATTTTGAAAGCTTAATGTATCTATAAATTTTATACTCACCATTTCAGTTTGCTCTAAAAGAAATGGTGTTATCCAAATACAACGATCCAAAGAATGTCATGATGAGGCATGAAGTAAAAATCTTAAGACAACTAAAACAGCATGACAATATAGTGTTATGCCATACTGACTTTGAACGTAATGGCCACATATTGTTAGTACTGGAGTATTGTGGTGGTGGTGATTTGGCTGGATACATAGAATCATTAAAACCTAGTAATTATTTAGAAGAAAAGAATATCATAGTTTTCGCTGTCCAGATTGCTTCAGCCGTTGAGGTATATGTACACTTTTAAACAGGCATTATAACTGTCAACAAGAAAATAAATGCATGCAATGTTATATAATTTCATATTCACAATAACACTAGACTTGGCTAATTATCGACAATCCAAGAACTGAGTTCGCATTCAAAGGATATTCTTACGTCTAAGTGAGTCCCCTAGCTATCCAATTTCACTTAAATGTAAGTGCATGTATGTCATCAAAAGTAAATGTCATTCAAATGTAACCCCAAGTACAAATTTACCCTTAATAAGGGAACTAACTTTATATTGGGCCTCAATTAATGCCAGTTTAAGTAAGAAAATTACGGAAGCTGAGATACGAACTTTGTTTTAATTTAAAATAATTTTTTAATTTTATAAAATATTTTTTTAATTTTATAAAATATTTTTTTAATTTTATAAAATATTTTTTTAATTTTATAAAATAATTTTTTAATTTTATAAAATAATTTTTTAATTTTATAAAATAATTTTTTAATTTTATAAAATAATTTTTTAATTTTATAAAATAATTTTTTAATTTTTAATTGCGCATAATTTTTACTTTTGCAAAATAATTTTTAATTTTGCAAAATAATTATTAATTTTGCAAAATAATTATTAATTTTGCAAAATAATTATTAATTTTGCAAAATAATTATTAATTTTGCAAAATAATTTATAATTTTGCAAAATAATTTATAATTTTGCAAAATAATTTATAATTTTGCAAAATAATTATAATTTTGCAAAATAATTTTTAATTTTGCAAAATAATTTTTAATTTTGCAAAATAATTTTTAATTTTGCAAAATAATTTTTAATTTTTAATTTTGCAAAATAAATTTTAATTGTAGATTAATTAGTTTTCAGAACCGTCAGACCGTCCCGGTTCACTTACATTTTCTACAGTAATAGGCCTAGTATTACTAGGGAAATGCCCTGTCGACATGGGACTAGGCAGGTCGTGGGTTCGCTTCCGGTCGTGAGAAGGTTCATCGGGGTAATTAATTTTGCAAAATAATTTTTAATTTTGCAAAATAATTTTTAATTTTGCAAAATAATTTTTAATTTTGCAAAATAATTTTTAATTTTGCAAAATAATTTTTAATTTTGCAAAATAATTTTTAATTTTGCAATTTGCAAAATAATTTTTAATTTTGCAAAAAAAATTCAATTTTGCAAAAAAAATTCAATTTTGCAAAATAATTTCAATTTTGTAGAATAATTTGTATTCAGAACCGTCAGACCGTCCCGGTTCACTTACATTTTCTACAGTAATAGGCCTAGTATTACTAGGGAAATGCCCTGTCGACATGGGACTAAGCAGGTCGTGGGTTCGCTTCGGGTCGTGAGAAGGTTCATCGGGGTTTTTCGGCGTGGTTTTCCATTGTCAGTGGTGAAGGGCGGAAGGCCTGGCAAGAACAGTTGTCTAGTCGTCTGGATGGGACGGAAAACCGAAGTCCCGTGTACACATTGGCGTGCAAGTAAGAGTCCCCTCGACAGTTGGAATTAACCTCATAGCACACTGTATGCGTATGCCCGCCTTCACTGGCCCAGTCGGAGCAGAACAGTAGGACGTTAAACCCCATTTCATTTCATTTCCCTGTCGCCATTTTGTTGATAACAGACGCTTGTACATTCGGTTTACCTCGGCTATTTTGATACTTCCATTTGACCTCGACTGCACACCTTTCGAACCCATTGTCTTTAAAGACACTTGCGACTATGCAAGGTAACACCTCCTAACGACGCCTTTTTAAGAAGTATTATTTGTTAAACCGTAAAACTACTATCGTACCACCATTGTCAGACGGAGAGTGGAGACGCATATCAAGCTACGTCGTACAGGCGAGCTACATGACATGATGAAGATCACAGAATTAGCAGAGGTTTGCCGAATGGAACTCGAGAAAAATAGAAATTGTTTTTTCGAAAAACAAAATTATAAATTATTTTACAAAATGGAAATTAAAATACCAAATATAAAATTATAAGTTCAACAAAATTAAAAATAAAAGTTTAAAATTAATTTACAAATTGAAAAATTAATTTACAAATTGAAAAATTAATTTACAAATTGAAATATTAATTTACAAATTGAAATATTAATTTACAAATTGAAATATTAATTTACAAATTGAAATATTAATTTACAAATTGAAATATTAATTTACAAATTGAAATATTAATTTACAAATTGAAATATTAATTTACAAATTGAAATATTAATTTACAAATTGAAATATTAATTTACAAATTGAAATATTAATTTACAAAATGAAAAAATATTCTTGCAATATTGGAAATTAATTTACAAAATTAAAAATAAAATTATTCTACAAAATTAAAAAAATATTCTACAAAATTAAAAAAATTTTCTACAAAATTAAAAAATGTTCTACAAAAAAAAAAAAAAAATTAAAAATAGAAATTAAAAATAAAAATTAAAAATAGAAATTAAAAATAGAAATTAAATATTAAAAAAAAGGTTCGTACTTGAGCTTTCGTACCTATACCAGGTACCTTAATGTTACAAAATTTAGTAGCAGGAATGATTTGAAAAGTGTGGGGGCCAGAATTTAAAAAAAGGACAATGTCGCCGAGGGGGGTGTATGCCCTTTAAATCCCTTATGTTATATGATCTAGTTTGTTTCGAGTGAACGACAAATCCAAACTTTTTCCCCGTCTTCTGATTGTATGACTTGCTCAGTCTTTTTACCTTGTAAAATGTAACCGTAACAACAAAAAGGTGAAATGTTACACATGTTACTAAAAATGCGACCTTTATTGATACCTTAATTATCTGTATTTTCTTTGTATTTGTCAGTTTCTACATAAGAATCACATTATTCACAGAGATCTGAAACCCGCCAATATATTTCTTACAGAAGATCAAACTATAAAGGTTGGAGATTTTGGAATATCGCGGTAAGTTGTTGAAATAGGATTATTGAAAAAATAAATGTCTTTCAGATTGTGTATTTGGGGATACCTTTTAAACGAATGCTTTCCATTGACATCAATCATGTAATTCTTTTACAAAATAACTGGATTCTATAGCAAATAATTGATTTCTATTTCTTCTCGGTAAAGGTCCTTGGAAAGTACATTGGCAAAAGCCCAAACCTACATTGGAACGCCGCTTTATATGGCACCCGAAATTCTAAATTATCAAGAATATAGCAATAAGGTATGTCTCTAGAAGCTAAAATCAATATCTTTCCGATGAACAATAAACACAAATTAAATAACCTTATATGGCACGCGAAATTCGAAATTATCAAGAATATAGCAGTAAGGTATGTCTTTAGAAACTAGAATCAATATCAGTTATGTAACTTTCAGAAGAACAATAAACAAAAATTATAGAACTAAGTGGTGATTTATTGTTTACTATTAAACTAATTCGTATATCTTAAGGCTGATGTGTGGAGTTTTGGTTGTATATTTTATGAACTTATGTGCTTGAAGTACCCATTTAAACTTACAACCAAAGAAGAAGAAAATATTCTAGAAAATATAAAGAAATGCCATGTAAGTATTATTTTTAATATATATAAAAGAGAAATTTAGGGGTTTTTTTCTTCGCTATTGGAGACCAAACTGTTGAATTGATGTAATATAATAACTTTATAATAACTCGCTTGTTACAAGAATGTTTGTGTTGCTGTTTATTTAGTATTTGTTAATAATTTTCTTCTTAGTTTTTTTTTCTAATTTAATCCAATCAAATATTTCAGTATATACCTGTTTCATCACGATATGATCTGAATCTTCGGGATTTTGCAAAAGGAGCTTTGCAACTTGATGAAAAGAAGAGGATGACAGCTGCCGATCTTCATTCGTTTCTTGTGGTGAGTTAAAATAAGCACAACAGGACAAGCAATAAGTAATGTATATAGGTATTATTATATGGGAGGATTATATGTGCCATTGATCATGAATTTAGTTCAGTGTGTCTTCTAACATCAAACACAGTACCAGCAAACGCAAACAGAAATTTGTTCTGGAGGAAAGATAGGTTACTTTTCCACGCATTGCTTGTTTATATGGGGGCGGGTGCGGGGATTAGGTGCGAGGGTAAAGGAACCTTATCTATGCTTACCATAGATACAATATTTATATGTCACTATACAAGGTCACTTGCCTAAGGGAAATGGTATCCCTCTCTCTCCCTCTCTCTCTCTCATTAGAAACAGAAACAGTATATACTATAAAGCAAAATCACTTAACACTATTGAGTATTACTGTTCATACATGTATGTATTTTATGTGATATGTTAGGGAATGGTGGATCACGATCTAATTAAAACGGTTAAAGCATCATCAGCTATGGGTCAACCACAATTACCGTCTCACAAATTACTTATAAAAGCAGTAAATGATTTTAATAGCCTGGACCTTTATTCTGGCTCAGAAGATAGCTATTCGGATGACTTTGAATCATTATCGGAAATTGAAGACGAGGATGATTTAGAAGAGACGCTGACGGCAACAGCCATCCAAAATTTGAATATTCAGCAGTCAGAAACCACAACTACGTCATCAATTCATGCGGACAACCCCTAGGTACGTCGAAACCAATTTTGCTTTGTTTTTTCAAAGAGGTGGAGATCGTGTTCTAGGTTCGTACATCAGTTACGACAGTTGTATCTTGGTTAAGGCTAAGGTCCCTCTGCCGTGCAATGCGTTACGATAGGATAGTCCCTATTGAATCCACGATCTGGTACGTGCGGATACATTCGGATACGTTTCGATACGATCAACACGACTGCTACGAATGACCTCAATGTATGATAGGATCACCACGATTACCCACGATTAACATCACGATTTCATTGTAGCGCGAATCGTGATTATTAACCGAAATACACAATATCCACTGAATGTATAGATAAAAAAAATATTTTTATCTTATTTTTATCTTTTCAGAAACCTTTGCAAGAGCTTCTGGAAAAAGACAACTATAAGCAATATTTTCTCAAAGGCCATTAGATCCTTTTATAATAAATAACCACTACGCAATATTATTGGGATATTTTGGATCCAATTTTCCCATTGTTACCATGGACATTCTTCTTGTGTGCAAGTAATCTCTGTGAAATTATAAGGATGTTTGTGATTTGCTAGTTTTACTAACATAACATAATGACATAATTAGAACAGGCCAAAATACATTTAAGTGATTATGCATGCAGACAGACTCACAAATAATGAACAGTATTATTTTAAAACATAGATATTGATGTACATGGTAGCTCATAACGGAGTAATTATAGGACAGTTTTTACCCATGCAAGTTTACACCACACACAACGAAATGTTTGGAAATGATTACAACATGAGAATTACATTCTTTCAATGTTTGAGTTACATTGAAACCGAAAGTTTGCATTTCTTGGGAAAGCTATCACACAGCTTCCGATAAATGCTTTCACACACAGCCAGTTTTAATTACTAAACTATAGCCGGGACGACTCTTTTAATAGTGTACTGAATATTCAGTTGATGCAATAACCAAGAATCAGTGATAACATATTAACATACGAATACTTGTAAATCGCACCATTGCCCGGGCAAAATTTCTTTTATAATAGTCTGAATGATATAAGTCTGCCTGCATTAAACCATATTCATCTCATGTTATTCATTTTTAGGTCGGTATCGGAGACGTTCAGGCAATTTTAGTATAATACCGTACTCAATTTACCCAATTATCCGTCACACGTGCCCAGTGATATTAACAATTATAATATTAACCCCATTTGATCTTTTCTAAAACTATTCTTCTTGTAACATTGCATTCATAAAAATAGAAAGAAATCTGGGTTTTAACGACCTATGTTCTATAATAGATCACATTCGACATTAATAATGTTAAAAATGCATTATGCCCGGCTCCACGCTATTTAAGCCTAGCGCAGAAAGTAAATTTCTAATAGCAGATCATCCTTCGTAGACCAGTGAGGTCGGGTTATAAAGTCCACGGTTTCTGTACAGACTATAATACGAACTGCTATATCCTGTTAATCTTGAAAATGGCTTAAAATAAAATAAAACCAAGTACGAACAATCCAAACCATTAGACAAAATTCGAAGTATTGAAGCTTCGAAATTCATTTATTGCCAAATCAGCCCTTTCTATTTATACCAATGTTAATTTCTTACTTAAACAGCCACTTTAATATTGAAATACAATTGAAATACATCAATACTAAAACGATAGCTACCAAATTTCATAATGTTCAGTCTTTGGTTACATGTTTTCTCTACCCCTGGGTCCGATGTGGTCCCCGGTGCAGGACGAGGGGACTGATAAGTACAGCTGTCTTGTCGTTTTGATGGGACGAAAAACCAGGTCCCTTGTACACATTGCGGCTACACATAAAAGAACCCTTGAAGTTGGAATTTGATATAAGTGTGGGTCGCCAGAGAACCGTATTGACTTTGTCTCCACTTCCATTTTGTATAATCGCATATATGCTTTTGAGCAAGAGGTTGTATGACTTACTAGTGTAGAATCCACGAAAAGGGTTTGAATATACAATTTCTGTCAGGTTTTGGTGAATATTTATGGTTTTGAGGCAGAAGGATACGAGAGTTAAGGTGTTGGTTAGGTTGAAATGTAGGGCGGAAAGTTGCATTTTTTTTTTGTCCCTACGTGCTTTTGAGCAAGAGACTGCCACATTTTGCCCCACCTGTGGTAGAACGCGTTCTACCCATCGAGAATTTGCAAAAAAGAGTAAGAGCCGGTTTAAGTGACGAGAATTAACATTGAAGTCAATAGGGAAATCATTGGCGATCTGTGGTCAAATGTTGTTTGGACACAGTAGGACACCTTATTCCCACACTAATGCGTCCTCTCTTTAGCACAAAGGCGTGCTGGGAGGGTAGGCATGGTAGGTAAGCCTACCTTGTCCTCAGAAATGCAAAAAACAAAAGAAACCATACATGGTTGATAACGCTCGAATCCGATGAGATTTCCTACCAGGGTATTAGGGTATGTTTATTGGCTATGTGCCATTCCGTCCGAAAAAGTGCCATGATTTCTGAAAAAGTGCCATGATTTCTGAAAAAGTGCCCTTGAATTTTGAAAGAGTTACCTCAAATACCCATGGAAAGGGCCGCGTCAATGTCATCGTATTACCATTGCACCAATGACAATATTGTACCTCCCTTGTTTCAAACAGATCCAGCGATACTAAAAACCAATCTCACTCAATGACTGATTGTTGCTGGTATCCAATTTTCTCTAATTTCGGTTTCAATTTGAAAAAGTTCGCAGTTTACAACCATTTATAATCACAATTCCTGATTTCGCCCCGCTTTAAAATTGTTAGGGCGGACCGGGTAGCTCTTGCTTCTCGATGGGCCCCGTCGTGATGAAGAATACGTGATATGACGAGAAATCTCGTATGATTCACTAGTTCTGCGCCCCACTCATAGATCATTTTTTCTCCTCGAATCGAATTGAGGCCATTACATTTCAAAGTGGATGTAACACTATTATTGATAACAGAAGATCAGTTTAGTACATACATTATTTATTTACATCGCGAACAGGAACATAAATACACAGGAACATAAATCAAACAACAATTTAAATACATCAGAAACATAAACCAAAGAGGAACTAAATTACACCAGGAATATAATCAATGACATTAAAAACAGTGCATGAATAGTTTAAGATAATCATTCCGTCCCTCTTGCTACGCCGGTCTCTGCTCCTCCCTTCCTCCCGTCTCTCCGTCTCTCTCCTCGTCTCGTTTACTGTCGGTAAACTCGTGGTTATATATACTCTTCAAAAAAGTAGGGGATATTGAAATGTAAATACCTATGCAGGTTGCGATATGATAAATGGTCATGGACATTTGACATGCTTTGAGAGTATGTTCACAGATGAAGAACTTATCGCCCCAACAGAACCACTGAGCTGCGCATGCGATACGCAATAGCGCCATACACGTGGGAGGGGTTCATTATCAAATTTGACACTTCAAGGAAGGGATGACGAAAACTGGCGCATGCTGGTTTATCCATGTTTGCTTTCCTATCGGTTCTTGCATATGATTTACTGTTTAGCGTATCTTTGCTTTAGTGTGTTACGTTTAATTTGATTGGGAGACGTGTTCGTCGACGTCAACGTCAACCGACAACATTGCAAGAATTGGCCATGGCACTACAAGAGGAGTGGGTCAGATTGCCCCAAATCGTGATTGGACGGTTGATTAGGAGCATGCCACGACGAATTGCTGAATGTCTGAGAATTGGTAGAGCAAATACTTATTATTAAGACAAATATCAAAAACGTCCATTTTCACTTTTGACAGTGTATCTCTTTGCTAGTGAAATGGGGCCGTCAGATAAGCCGCCCATATGAACTGTTTATGTTCATGTGTAGGTAATTGGCCTGTTATTAACATACACTGGTTACCTCTATTAAAAACAGCAGTGCATTTCTGCAGTTTTGTATTGTTTCTGAATATCCCCTACTTTTTTTAAGAGTATATCTTTCAAGAACAGGGTAAACGGGTATTAACTTCTTATTATCATATATGGAGTTGTTTAGATTAGTTGGCCACCATGGGATGGATTAAGACCTTAATTACATACAATATCATATAGTATCAAAACCAGCTGGGGGTCAGACACTTTGTCGCATGGATACGAAGATGAATTTTAGTTATTTTGAAAAGAATATGTCATATTATGTTGTTTTTTTCTAATCAGAGCCTATGAGGAGTAACAGGACCAAAAATTTCGGAGATTGGCATAAATTTCTAGAAAAAAAACTGTTTTATTTATTTCGCTAAGTGAATTTAAGAAAAATTCAACATGGGCGACGGGAGCATTCTTAGCTGTTAGCAAACTCAAGGTCAATACACTACCCATTACCACGAACTCTATTGACATTCATTCTGTCATCAGTTTAACTTCCTTGGCCGGGATTAAACGTTAACTTTTTACACTGATGCAACGGTCGGTGACTAAATCTTGATCATCCCCTCATTCTTGCAATGGGACTGTGCAAGTGCTACTCCTCCCTCATTAGAGAACAGAATCGAATGAAACGTGAAAAGTACCATTTGTAAGGCATACCAGTCCCTTTCGATGCTTATTTTTCTTTACCTGTGGGTCTTTTAGTTCTTGATTGTTGCTAAGCATGTTGATATTCTGATTTTCCGGACTTCTACCATGAGTTAATGTATGGTATATCATGGCTCTGATATACGGAAATCGATTCTAGCATGTGAAACAGAACCAAAAATCCCCATCCCCCCCCCATCTCTCATCAAAGTGCCCTAAGTTTGGTCTGCCTACCCTCTTCCGTACGCTCCAGCAGGCCTCTGCTTTAGCATGTCTTTTTTGTTGAATTATTGGTGTAGAATCGAAAAAAGGGTTTGAATGTACATTTTCTTGTAAGTTTTGGGGCGGAAGGATACGAGAAATGAAGGGCCGACATTTGCATGTTTATTAGTATGTTACTTCCCATTTGTGTATCTCAAGATTTCCATGGAGAACCTCATACATTCTTTCATAGGCGTACGGGGAAATTTTTTACTGGGGGGGGGGGCGGTGGTGGTGCCCCAAAAATGTAGTTAGGTTCTTAGTATGTTACATAATAATCATAATATCTCTTTTGCGATGAATAAGTTCTTAATTTCTAAATCATCAATGAAAGAGAACTAAATTTTATTTACTTGTAATATACACAACTAAAAACAGTTGTTTATGTAACTGTAATTCGTGGCTTACTGTACTCCAAACAATAGAGGGTTCGAGTCTTAAGATTTCTATTTAATTGCCTAACTATAGACACCCTGAATTTAAATTCGCTGTTAAATTGGACGCATTCAAGAACACAATATTTTTTTATACAACTTTTACAAAGTACAATTGTGTGCCCAAACTTTCCCAGCATTTGGTGCCCCCAGTCCCCCCCCCCCCCAGCTCGTACGCCTATGCATTCTTTTAAGCAAGAGGTTGCCACATATTGCTCCATCTATGGCTGAAAGCGTTCAACCCCATGAACATTTTGGGAAAAGTTAGAGCCGGCCAAAGAGATGAGAATTAACATTAGAGTCAATGGGAAAATTAATGGTGTAGTGTGCCCGTTTAGCGCCTTACTTTTCTATATTAACCGATTTAATGAGAACGCAGGGGCGCGTCCAGCTGTTTGAGCAGCGGGGAATCCAAGGTGGAGACAACGTCAAGTTTGGCGTTAGGTCGGGACAAACTATCTGCGAACTTGATAAAATCAGAATCTTTGAGACAATCTTTTTGCTCATGTCGGTGCATACATGTATATGATTACAGTGAAGTGGTGAGCGAAAACGGGGTTATCTCCATGAAAGTAGGAGATAAAAAATATTGTCTGTGCTAGCAGCCAGCCAAGACACGCCCCTGGGACCGGCATACACCCTACAGTGCTCTATACGGATAATTTTGCCCTGATAACGGCGTTGTACACTTATATCGATTTCCAACTGTCATCTCCAATGAACGGTTGAACATTTACTGATCATTTATTTATAATGTCGTTGCTATTTGTTTAGAATACACTTACTCGTTAACATCAGAGTTTTAACAAGTTAACCAAGCGCATAGTAGAATAAACAAACAATGGCCATGTCTGTTTATTTCGCACGTTGTATAGAATGCCCGATTTAATGGGATTTGGAGGTAATCGGTTCATTTGTTATTGTATATGATAATATATGACCTACTTAATGGGTGGACAGGTATTTTTACAATTCATGATATACCAACTAGTCTGTACGTGTAATAAAAACGGCGACTAGACATTTGTTTACTGCAGGGACGGTTAAGCGAGTATTTTTTGCCATTATTGTGAAACCGTTCAACCAGTTATTGTTCAGATATATAACTATATATAGACAAGGAGTATGTAATGGGTTTATTTGTAATCGATAAAGGAAGTAGCTGTTTAGATGATCTTTTTGTGGGGATTTCCCAATCCTTTAGTCGAAGTGCCTTGTCGTAGTTGGTGATATACTTAGTTAATGTAAACTAATAAAAACATTTTGTGTACGCTATGGATGTGATTGTGGAAAGAAAACTTGGAATGGGAGCCTTTGCCTCCGTTTATTTGGTTAAGACTAAATTTTCTGATGACAATTACTATCAGGTTGGTTATTTTAAAGATCTAATTTGCACAAGGAACCGAACCCCATCTACCCATCTTGTTCTTCGTGTTCTTATGTCTTCTGGCGGCGACTGTCTTCGAGCAAATTCTTGGGCTCTGCCAATTCAAATACCATCAAACTGAAACTTGGCATGCCTATTCCTTAGACAATTGCGCATCGTGTGACAGACTTAGGCCAGGTTAATGTAGTCTATAGGCTATGAAGGCAGAGTAACATACTTCGATTTAGTAGATTTAAGATTATAAGATGGCGTCGATAACGTCATGCCCGGCTCGTGCACTTTTTAGGCCGGGTTAATGTGATCTATAGGCGATGAAGGCAGAGAAAGACTATAAATAAAGTGGGATTACATTATCAGATGGGACAATGTATTGGTGTCCTGTGTCCAGAATGATGTCGTGAGTCTCATCCGTAGGTAGAGTTACGGGCCTTCCTAAAAAAAAATGAGCTGCGTACTTGGTGATCGTGTTTGTCTGTCTAGAACAACAACATGTACATTTTGTTGATAGTTATCCTTTCACTGTTATTGCCAAGTAGATACCTACAGGTTTTCACGGTAAACAGTTTCGGTTTCAATAAGAGCGGTCATTGGATTATTTAGAAAGCTTAATGTATCAAATTTATACTCACCTTTCCAGTTAGCTTTAAAAGTAATGGAGTTATCCAGAGACGACGAACGAAAGAAAGCCATGATGAGACATGAAGTGAAAATCTTAAGACAAAATCATCATGACAATATTGTGTTATGCCAAGCTGACTTTGAACGGAATGACCACATAATGTTAGTACTGGAGTATTGTGGTGGTGGGGATTTAGCTGGATACATAGAATCATTAAAACCTAGTAATTATTTAGAAGAAAAGAAGATTATATTCCTCGCTGTCCAGATAGCATCAGCCATTGAGGTATATGTACACTTTTAAACAGATATCATAACTGTCAACAAGAAAATAAATGCATACATTGTTATATAATTTCATATTCACAATAACCCTCGACTTGGCTAATAATCGACGATCCACAAACTCTGTTCGCATGAAAGAATATCTTACGTCTAACTGAGTCCCCTGGCTGCTCAATTTCACTTAATTATAAGTACATTTCTTTCATTTAAAGGGACAATAACACTCTTGCTGGCTTGACAGCTCCAGAAAATAAATAATAGCTTTATTCCAAGTACTAGATGTTTAAGTGTCCTACCTGTTGTGTTAATTATCCATTACATCCTATTTTACTTGTCCAGAGGGTTCGAAAATATTTTAAAATCCAATTTACATTTGAAAAAGGTTTACGTTAGGCTTTTCAAATCATTTAGTTGAATTTTTACAATTTTTTAAATTAGGTGTCTTAAGATGAAATTTATATCATCAATTAATTGGAATATTGTAAAATAGTACAATTTGTTGATCAGAATAAAGATTGGGATAGATTATTCAGTTACAACAAGAGTGGTATTGAGCCTTTAAAAGTAAATTTTAATGTCATTTTGTAGAATAATTTTTGATTTTGTAATTTTATATTGGGATTCAAATCCCAGTTTAAGTGAGAAAAATCTACTTGTACTTAATTATGAGGGACCTATGGGAGGGAACCTTAAAGTTACAAAATTTAGTAGCAGGCCCCTATGAATGATTTGAAAAGGGAGAGGTTTATAATTGAAAAGAAGACAAAACCGCGGTGGATATTAAAAGGGAGAGGAGCGGGGATAAAGAAGTTCTATGCCCTCTAAATCCTTTATGTTATATGATCTAGTTCGTGTCGAGTGGACGTTAAATCCCATTTCTCTCCCCCTCTGCAGTACCCACTCAGTTGTTTTATCTTGTAAAATGTAACGTTAACAACAAAAAAGTAATACTTCACACATGCGGCCTTTATTGATACCTTACTTATCTGTATATTCTTTGTATTTGTCAGTATCTACACGAGCATCACATTATTCACAGAGATCTGAAACCCGCCAATATATTTCTTACAGAAGATCAAACTATAAAGGTTGGAGATTTGGGAATATCGCGGTAAGGTGTTGAAATATATTCAGGGACAAAATAAATGTATTTCAGATTATGTATGGTGTAGTATATTACTTTAAATCTTCCACTGGGAATACCTTTTAAACGAATAAACTCTATTGATATCAATCATGTAATTCTTTTACAAAATATAACTGGATTCTATAACAAATAGTTTTTAATTGATTTATATTTCTTCTCGATAAAGGTCGTTAGAAAGTACATTGGCAAAAGCCAAAACCTTCATTGGAACGCCGCTGTATATGGCACCAGAAATTCTAAATTATCAAGACTATAGCTATAAGGTATGTCTTTAGAAGCTAGTCTCAATATCTTTCCGAAGAACAATAAATAAAAATTAAATAACCTTATATGGCACGCGAAATTCTAAATTATCAAGAATATAGCAGAAAGGTATATCTTTAGAAGCTAAGTGGTGATTTATTGTTTACTATTAAACTAATTCGTATATCTTAAGGCTGATGTGTGGAGTTTTGGTTGTATATTTTATGAACTTATGTGCTTGAAGTACCCATTTAAACATACAACCAAAGAAGAAGAAAATATACTAGAAAATATAAGGGAAGGCAGTGTGAGTATTATTTATAATATGTATACAAGAGAAAATTAGTTTGTTTTATTTTTTCGCTATAGGAAACCAAACTGTTGAATTGATGTAATATAATAACTTTATAATAACTCGCTTGTTATTTTCTTCTTAGTGTTTTTTTTTCTAATTTAATCCAATCAAATATTTCAGTATATACCTATTTCATCACGATATGATCTGAATCTTCAGGATTTCGCAAAAGGAGCTTTGCAACTTGATGAAATGAAGAGGATGACAGCTGCCGATCTTCATTCGTTTCTTGTGGTGAGTTAAAATAAGCAGGACAAGCAATAAGTAATGTATATAGGTATTATATATTATATTGGAGGATATGTGTGCCATTGACGATGAATTTAGCTCAGTGTGTCTTCTAATATCAAACATAGTACGAGCAAACGCAAGCAGAAATTTGTTCTGGAGGAAAGATAGGTTACTTTTCCACGCCTTGCTTGTTTATATGGGTGTGGGTGTGGGGATTGGGTGCGAGGGTAAAATAAGCCTTATCTATGCTTACCATAGATACAATATTATGTATGTGACTATACAAGGTTGCTTGCCTAAGGGAAATGGTACCTCTCTCGCAAAATCACTTAATACTATTCAGTATTACCGTTCATACATGTATGTATTTTTATGTGATATGTTAGGGAATGGTGGATCACGATCTAATTAAAACGGTTAAAACATCAACAGCTATAGGCCAACCACAATTGCCGTCTCACAAAAAACTCATTAAGGCACTGAATGATTTTCATAGAAAGGCTTCGACCCTGGACCTTAGTTCTGCCTCAGAAGAAAACTATTCGGATGACTTTGAATCAGATTCAGAAGACGAGGATGAGTTAAAAGATACGCTGATGGCAACAGCCATTAAAAAAATGAATATTCAGCAGTCAGATACCGCAACTACTTCATCAATTCATGCGGATAAACCCAAGGTACGTCGAAACCAATATTGTTTTTTTAAGGATATGCAGATCGTGTTCTGGGTTCGAGTACCAGTTACAACAGTTGTATCCTGCTTAGGAGGAACAGATGACAGTTACGATAGTTGGGATACCCGGGACAGGCATTTTGATCATAAATGATGATATTAGATTATCAATATTAAGTCCAATGAAATCAACCGCTTTATTGTTAACCCAGATCAAGGCGCCTAGCCATTTTAATGAATATGGTGCAATGTTGTCTTTGTTTTGCTTTATTATTAACCCAGATGAAGGTGTCTAGCCATTTTAACGAATATTGTTTTTATTTTGTTTCCATTTATTAAGAAAGCCGAAATAACAAAGAAGAAGAAACGGGACTCTATTTTAAAAGGTAACGTATATATTGCTTATGATCTCTTGACACAGTCCTGTTTGTAAGCCTAATTTTATTTGTACGTATTTGTGTATTTGTTTTCAGAAGCAGTGTTTTACTGAATAATGATTTCTGTGAGTAATGAAGTTGTTACGTCTCTCGTCCTGTACCCATGGAAAATGACAGCCATTTTGAAAGTTCAAGTTGCTAACGGGATTTCCTTAATACATGACCTTAAACCTAAGTAGAAACGCAAATTTTAGGGCTTGCATCCAGATTTGATCGACCTTTACACTTAGCCACCCCACTAAAAGTAAAGCCACACACTGTTAAATCTGGGCTTACGCAGATCTACGTTCCAAAGCAAAAACGCACAGTTGATTTTAATCATATTACAGAAGAGATGTTTATGCAAGGCCAAAAATAAACTGGTAGTGATTTTATTTTTGCTAGTTTTACAAACAATTGATGAAACCTTAATACAGTCACTTTTTTGCTATTTTAAGTTAAAGTCAAGAGCAAAGCGAAGAACGACTCCCTAATGGTATATACTAGGGGTCAAAGGGTATCATATAATAACAGTGACGAAATAGGTTATGGAGACAGTGATGAAACAGATGCATTTAGTTCGAATGTTCAGCAGTATGTACAAACACATATTACCGGATATTCTTTCCCTTTGCTCATTCAATCGTCAAATCCTTACTAAACGAAAACATTAATTACAAAACGTGAGACCACAAATTGCTTTAATGATGCAATATGTAAGACACGATCTTCAAAGCAAAACGCGATAAATTGAAAGATAATCTTTAACTCCTGACATTCTACCTAAAAATATAGTATAAAAATACTCCCATGCTAAAGAGCATTTATTAATTACACCTATCTGTATACTATTGTCATCAACCACTTATGTATCCAGATTCGGGTTACCCTATGTGCAGTGTATTCAGCTGCCTACAGCCCAAGGAAATAATAGGACCCAAAAGATTTGACGACCTTTTTAAGCTCAACTGGGTTACTTATTCATTTCATCGTAGCACGAACCTGTCTCATTTACATTCCGTCCCATGCGATCGCGCTCGAGTTGAACTACAGAGTGAACGCCAGCATAGAAGACTGGTCACCTATTGGCACCCGGTCAAGCGACTTTCGCTTTCATTTTTAAAATGTTCTGGCGACTTCTTCGAAAGAGGTCTGTATGGAATGTTCATACTGATTCAATAAATAGGTTGACTGCCTCATAGAAGTTACTCTCAAGATTTATCCCTGTGTGATGGCTTTCCAATACTTGGATCGAAAGGTCCTTTTCACGTCTAAATATATGAAACACACCACCTGTAGTTCAATAGAGCAGATGAGACTGGGTTATCAATAATTGATGAGAATGAACTTTTTTCCATTTTATTGTAGCAGATCGACTGAATGTTATAGTCTAAGTATTACGGGAAATTTAGTTACAGAGCTCTAGTTTCGTATTAGACCCAGCTGATCGATCTGCCTACATACTATCACGGCCTTGGTCCGTCTCTCGATGAGTTTATAATATTCTTTATATTATGACATTTTTCCTTTATAGGATGTGTAAAAAGGACATTGGAGAGGAAAAGTATGAAAGAGTTTTAAGTCTAATTTCGTCAATAAAAGATAAACAGACATTAAAGGTGTTTATTTAATATTTTTAGTTGTTGTTTTCTATTTCAAAAGATTAGACCCTTAAACAGCAAGCCGTGATATATTTCCGCTATAAACGATAATATACATAAATAGCGAATAATATTTTAACTTACTGAATGGATGGCAGGGCAAACCAACAATTCTGTTTAACTGATTCAAGATTCCGAGTTCTCTACCCACATTCAGTGGATAAATTCTGGGGATATGGGTTGTTTTGCGTGTATCTGGGACTTCTTTAAATGGAATTATTGAACATATTTGTTTTTAAGATGTAAACTATTTGGTTTTTAATTGAGCTAAGGCTGTTTGATGTCGGTAAAAATAAAGTGTTGAATTGGGTAGATCTGATATATTATTTTGAATAGACATTGGGAAAGCTCATTACGATCAAATAGTTGTTTCGACAGATAAAGCGAAAGTCGGCTGCTTTGCTAAGTTTAGTTTCATTTGGACCTTTTGCTTATTATGTCGACAGTGGAACACAACATCTATTATATTTTAAACCCGACTTTCTCTATGGACCTAAGATTTGTTGATTTGGCCAAAAACAATAAATATTGTATCGTGTCAAAAGGGCAGGATACGAGAGAACTAATACGCGTAGTTTAATTATCCGAAATACACAAGATCTGCTAAATATATAGATAAAATTAATATTTTTTATCTTTTCAGAAACCTTTGAAAAAGATGCTGGGAAAAGACAACTTTAAAAAATATGAGCACCATTTTCTCAAACGCCATTAGGCCCCTTTTCCAATAAATAACCACTACGCAATATTATTGGGGTATTTTGGATTCAATTTACTCATTGTCACCGTGGCCATTGCTCTTGTATGCAAAAAACCCTGTGATCGGAAATTAAAATTATAAGGATGTTTGTGATTTGCTAGTTATACTAACATAGCATCATAACATTAATAGAACGAGGCCAAGATGCATTTAAGTGATAACGCACACAGACGTGAACCTGACTCTCAAATAATGTACATTATTATTTTAAAACACAGAAAGAAACCGAATCAATGTGCATGACATTTTTTTTCTTTGGCAGATCTTAACGGAGTAGTCACAGGGCAGTTTTTACACATGCAAGTCTACCCCAAACACGATGAAATATTTGGAAATGATTACAAATGTTTGAGTTATATTACCTCAGTGTGTGTATATAGTCATCGTTATCTATTTGCTTGGGAATAGAGAGAATTATGGGGACGTATCAACAACTATATATGGAAACCAAATGTTGTATTGCTTGAAAAAGCTATTAAATAGACGATTTTTATAGTCTTTAACCAGTTTTAATTACTTGGGACACCCCTTTAACAATTTGATTAAACACAGATCCTATTTCGTTTCGTTTTTTATAGTTCAAAATTTCGTTTTACTTGTATTTACTACACTAGGATCTGAAAGAGTTGTTATATAACCCGCGTTGTGGATGATGTGAGGGATTAGCCAATGAAACGGTCTATTACGGCAAGTTTTGGGCGTGACGTGCACGGAACAGTTGGTAACCCACTAGAAACATCAACGCTGATTGATTAATCAAATGTCTGAGAAATAGGGTCCAAAGCCGATCGTATGACCTTTGACCACTACAACCGGTCAGATCTTCATATAGTTTAGGCCATCGAAAGTGTAAAAAACGAAACAAAATATAAATCTGTATTTTAATCAGATTTCCCCTTAATATCGTAATCCACATTTAATTGAAGCAATAATCAGGAAACTGATAACGTATTGACATACAAATCCTTGTAAATCGCTTTATATGTATTCAATAAATATCGTATATACATTTTCATGAACGTTTTATTACATTATATTATTAGAAACGCGGGTTTAAATACCCCAGTAGCCAAATCAGCGTTACTAATCGGACATCGTTAGTCGGACGATAAATCGACATTTACCTCACAAAATAGTGATATGTGCAGGCCCAAAAGCAAATGGTCGTCAATTTCAAGTCCCGGGTCATCTGAACATATTTACTTTTTCTAAAAAAAAGGTTAAATATAGACACGGGCATGTACATGTGTGTCGTGTCCACGGATCTTTCAACACCGCTGTACTATATATTTGGAAATATCTCTCTAAGATCTATCTGCTTGTGGTCTTTAATTCAGTATTTAAGACTTGGTATATAAAGTGCGCAACTGGAAGTCAACAACGAATTGGGATTTTGTTTATGCCTCACAGATATTGCTATTCGATTGAATATATGTGGGCAATTTGTAAAAGTATATTTTACCGCAATCCAGTAAGGTTCTCGGTGTACCTTGGCTAATACCAATTTCTTCAATTCTATACCCTGAATATGTACAAAATGCTGAAATATAAGGTCAGTAACACATCAAATAAATGATTCACGATTCGGGATGTCGTAAAGGTTCATTCTCTAGACAAGTTAACAAAACTTAAACGAATCCCAAAGATTCGGATTTATATGCATTGTTTTTTAAAAAAAACCCAATCAATTCTAAAGAGTAAAAATTGGTGACCCTTAGTAGTGCCTTATCGGGAGAATTTTCAATGCATTGTTCACCATAGGGCAGGATGAAACCAAAAACTAAGAATAGCCCTTACGTTTTATAATGTTTAATCAGTTCATGTCCCCAATAAATAATTAAGCAGGACAAGATCAATTTTCTAAAGCTAAATGATGATAAGACTGCAGTACTTCCGATTGGCCCAACGTCTCAATATAATAAGCAAGACTCTTATCTATTGGTGATGCCGAAATACCTTTTTTCAAACTGCATTTCTCTAGAACTAAATCCATACTAAATTATGATAAGACTGTAAGGTTGTATAGTATTTCCGATTGGCTCAACAACTCAATCTAATAACACAGACGCTATCTATTGGTGATGCCGATACCAAACATGCATGTATTCATATCTAATACCCCCGTCAGACTTGGGTGACGTCCTTACTGCGACGCTACGGCGACGGAAAATAGCCGCAGAGCTCGTTAAGATCGCCATAAGCGCGGTAAAAGCGTGGTGGAAATGCCAGATATCGTGCTTAGTGAATGGTCGCCTAATCACCACGTTTTAAGCATGTTCAAAACAAACGCCAAGGCTCTGCGATCTAACCTGAAAAGTTGTAATGCCCCCGTCAGACCGGGGTGGTGTCCTTAAAGCGCTACAGCGACCGTACGGCGACCATAAAATGCACAAGGTCGCCGGCAAACGTGAACACAGCGTACGAAAATGTCCCAAAATATTACAAACTTAAAAAAAAATTTGCGTTTTCACATCTTTCCAGGGCAGATCGCAGAACCTTGGTGTTTGTTTTGAACATGCTCAAAACAAACGCCGTGACTCGGCGATCGTTTGCGACCATCGAGACCACAGCGCGATATCTGGCGTTTCCACCACGCTTTTACCACGCTTATGGCGATCTTGACGCGCTCTGTGGCCATTTTCCGTCGTCGTAGAAGCGCAGTAAAGCCGCCACCCCGATCTGACGGGGTAAAGAACGCGACTTTTTTCAAATTTGTAAATTTTTGGGGACATTTTCTCGCGTGTGTTTACGTTTTCCGGCGACCTTGTGCATTTTCTAGTCGCCCTACGGTCGCAGCAGCGCAGTAAGGCCGCCACCTGGTCTGACGGGGGCATAAGATATGCAAATATGGTCTGGATTATGTTAATTCCTTCCTCTATTCATGGTTTCGGTCGTTATTACTGGAGACGTTCAATTCATTTTATAGCATGTATATTACTATAGTGTATATAATACACCCAATTATACGTCAAACGCACATAATGATATTAATAATTATTAACCTAATTTGATCTTTTATAAATACTTATAAAAAGAAATCCCTGAGCTGTGTTGTCATTGTAGCCACAATAAAACATGATATGCTTACTCTTTCTACAACAATTAATGTCATTTATGTATACCTAACCCATTTTATGTTAAAATTCTTTTCAGAATAGATATTATATATACTGGGTTATAATAATCTATAATAGATTACAGTCGACAATAGCAATATTAAAAATGCATTCATGCATTTCTAGTGGATCATCCATGGTAGATCAGTCAGGCCAGGGTATAAAGCCCAACTGTTTCTATACAAAAAAAACTTAAGGACCTGCCATATATTCTGTTAATCTTGATACGCTCGGCCTTATATTACCACATCAACTTATTCTATAAATTATGAGCCAATGTTAATTTTTTTTAAGTTAAACTGTCACGTTAATAATGAGCCTGAACAAAGCCAAACATTGAAACACAGAAAAAATAAAACAGTAGCTAACATATTTTATAATCTTTAGTCCTTGGTTATAAGTTTTCTTTACCCCCACACCAGGTTCGGTGTGGTACCCCCTTATCAGTTGTTGAGGTCGGAGGGTCTGAGATCAGCTGTCTAGTCGTTGGGATGCCGTGTTCACGTAAAAGAATTGGAATTCGATATGAAGCAAATGTCCCCCATAGCACACTTCATCGGGTATGACCGTCTTCGTTAGACAAGTAGGGCGTTAAACCCCATTTCATTTCCACCTATCGGGCTCCGTAATCCCTAATTTGCCTTTGGGTATTCCCCGTAAAATTTCCAGATAGTTTACAGTTGCGTTCAACTATACAGATCGAGATAAAGAATGCTTAAAGAGAGAGTACGAGTAGAATCATCTTTATTTTTTCTGTGGTTCAAATATAGCCTAATGGTTCAAATATATTCTAATGGCACCCCCTTTCTACAATAATATTCTATTTCTCTGCTTACTAATTAATAAATGGAGATTCTTTATGAATGACCAAACGACATTGCTTTTGTTATGATATTTTGGCACATGCGCGTTACATTTAACGGCCTTATATTAGCCGTGTTTGATGGAAACGATCCGAATACCAAGTTTATTGACTTCAGTTTCGGTTGGTGTCTCAGGGATTTTCAAAATGGCGGCCATAAATGTCCGATTTTAGAAAAAAATCATTATTTGTCTGTTTAATAGTGCTTCTAATATTTCATTTATATGATTTTTATTGTCACTGAACCTAATGATAACCTACAGAAATTGGTGAATATTCGTCGTAATGCTAAGATAACACATAATACAACAATAACCTAGTTCTGCCCATACTGGTCCTTTAAACATACCTGGTGATATCTATTTGTATAACATATCATGAAATACGACGTATAGGATTTAATTCGAAGAAAATAACCCGGATGACATATCATAAACCGAGCTACTTGTACATATTGTTGAGTACATTTATTTATTGGTGTAACTATATTCTTGTTCAAAGTTATGTATGAATCTGTAACCTGGATATAATTAAGTGTGCCTGTCTGTTAATTGTGGTCTAGCAGAGTATTCAATGTTGACAATATTTATTTATTTCGGAAAATTGTAGCAAATAGAATTAGAATCAATTAATATGGAATTGATTAGACGTGGAGAGCATCCCGAGGTATATAGTCTAGGTGAAATACTTGGTGCAGGAACATACGGTAAAGTCTACCTTGCCACTGCTAAAAATGGAGAACAGGTTAATATTGACTATATTATATTCAATATATATTTAATAGATGTAAACCATATATAGCAACTGAATTGTCAATGCCATGACAGTATAAGTTTTGGCTTGTTTACAAATCCATTATATCAGCGCTTTAAATACTCACGTTGTACTCGAAATAAAAATATTGTTTAAACCAACGGTAGTAGATTTTAGGTCTATAGACATTATTCAACGAACAGTTGATCGGAAATTGAGTGTCATTTTGTAGTTTCGAATGAGAAAAGGAATAGACTCTTTAAACAGTGGAAAGAAAGAACATTAGAATATCAATATTCATTACTTGTATTCATAGATTTTTACTGTTCTACAGTTATTATAGTTGTTATAGGTATAAACCAAATATAAACGGCCATGTTTAATATGTTTATTGAAATGGAGATTTCAACTTATAGTACATTAGATAATTGTCAAATATTGTGTTATTTGCTGATTTAAAGGTTAGACTCAGGTGAATGATAACAAAACCCCAAAATATTAAATCAACAAGGATATTCATCAGTCTTGTTGCAGATAATAGGGTAATAATAGTGTGGAGTAAAGCGCATTATAAGTTAACTACATATTTGTGTTCGTGTAAATATTTTGAATGTGGAGTTCATCAAAGTAAACATATCAAACGACAAAATATTGTAACAAATAACTGATGTAACAAAATCAGATTAAGTTAAACGCACAGAGCGTAAAGATTACCACGATTTACAATCTTATTAAAACACGGCTGTTTCGTTTGGTTTTTATAGTTCAAAACTTGTCTTCACAACACTAGGATCTGGAAGAGTTGTTATATAACCCGCGTTCTGGTTGATGTGAGGTATTAGCCAATGAAACGGTATGTTGCGGCAAGTTCTTGGCGTGTGGCGCACGGAACTGTTGGTAAACTACTAGAAACGTCAACGCTGATTGATTAATCAATGTCTTACGTCATAATGTCAAAAGCACCTCGTGTGACCCCTGACGCGACCTTCAACTACAACATGTCAGAACTAAATGAAGTGTATAGGCCATCGAAACTATAAAAAACGAAACAAAATATATATATATATGTATTTTAATCAGACTACTTGGTTTACACATATTTATATATGGCGTATAACTAATGGCTAGACCGCAAGACCCGCGCGTTAAGCAACCGCCTCCCCCATCTCTCAGCCAAAACCTATGTATTAACGGTTCTAATTACAACAAAGAGATTAGATATTATCTTTAAATGTCTATAAACCGCTTAGTCAGCAATATAGTTATAGGAGGTTGGTATTGTAATTTGAAAATGTATCGCAGAGCTTCAGAATGTTGCTTGGAACTGGGACCGTGGGTTCAAATGACCTTCCATACTACGGTAACCAGCTTTATTCAGTGTTATGTCACCGTGGATTCCCCGTCAACAGTACTGTCACCCTGTATAAGAAATATCCATTGATTTGATTTCAGAGTGCAATAAAACAAATTAATGTTGAAGATTTGAGGCACGATACCGCAGAGATGGAAAATTTTGCAAGAGAGATCAATAACTTGTCCAGTTTAACTCATAAAAACATTCTGTGCTACTTGGATTCATGGCAGGACGACGAAAGAGCCTACATTTACATCAAAACAGAGTACTGCTCCAAAAAGGATTTATGGAATTATGTTAACGCTACTGGAATACCAGACGAACAACAGTTGAGGTCATGGATTTATCAAATTGCTTCCGCATTAAAGGTAAGGTATATAAAGCCCAATTTACCGTTTATATATTATAATTTTAGTAGTCCAAGGCTATGTCGCTTCCCAACTGGTATTCCAATATCTCCTAAATATATACTCGTACATGTACTCGACTTTTCATGACAGAACACAATTGAAACCTCTTTCAGCAAACAATAATCAATGGTAGAAGTATCACCTTTTTGGCATCTGGTTTTTTTATGGTTACTTTTTAGTTTATTTTTCATCATGATTGCGTCACATTTCAACCAATAAGAAATATCTCTACCTTTTTAACCTTACAAATTAAACCTATATTTTTCAGCACATGCACGAAAGGGGATATATACATCGTAATGTTAAGCCAGCAAATGTAATGGTTATCGAAGATCTGACTTTAAAATTGGGAGATTTTGGTACTTCAAGGTAATCAAGAAAATTATCTTTAGATTTTTTGATGTAAAATGATGTTAGCTCATGTGTTGAGGGCTGGGTGAATACGGGAGAAATTATTGTTGTCATTTCACAATTATTTGATGAAGAGTAATAATATTTGACTCGTTTGAATTCCATCCATATTCGTGAATGGCGATGGTTGTTTCCCTTTGACAGCTGGAACGTCCAATAATGAAAAACTATATTTGACTAAAAGTTTTTCTGAATTGGGACAGAAATAACAGACCTTTCTTCAAACCAATATATTTCTTTCATATTGAAACGGGGTGTAACATGTCTCCGTCTTGTTTGTAAAGGAGTAGGGTCTCCTGTTCAACCTCGTAGGGTTACTCCGAGTCATCCGCTCCGGCTTCCCCCCACTACTAAAGTCCCCTACGCGCAAGTGTTAGTCTCTCTCTCTCCCTCTCTTTCTCCCTCTCTCTCTCTCACACACACACACCCACACATGTATCTGCAATTCCTATCAGCGCGGGTAGGGTTGCTCTTTCTAGAATTGTGGAAGCACTTTATCTGTTTTATTATGTCAACATGTTCTTCCTTTAATAATAAAAATGTACCTTTGTACACATTTGTATTCTTTTATTCGATATTCATAGATTAATACCAAAATCAAGTATATTAACTACAGTGATTGGCACGCCATATTTTATGTGTCCGGAAATGCTGAACTACAAATCATACAGCAAACCTGTAAGTAATGCTTGGTTATTATTACAATGGTTATCCTGTCACAATTGACAAAGAAATGTGTTTTATATTTTACGACGTTTACATAAATCTGTATATGATCCAAAATGAATGGAAGTCGAACAGAAAATCGGAACCTAATCCAATAAACATCTCGATAAGTTTATTAATGTCTAATTAATAATGTAGATAACATTTCAAGCCTAAAGAAAGACCTGCAATAGGCATATTTAGCTCTTGCATAATGTATGTTTAAATTATTCCAGGCTGACATTTGGAGTTTTGGTTGTCTATGTTATGCTATTGCAACTTTAAAAGTGATGAACGAGGGAACATCCTTCAAAGATATCATGAAAAGTTCGTTAAGATTAAAGGTAAAATGGATTATCATTTTGGTTATATATATTAGCTTTGTGTACACATATTATACTCTTCAAAAAAGTAAACACATATAGCTCATTTTTCTTAATTTTAATGCATTATGCAAGGATAAGAGACATTCATTACTAGTTTTAAATGTAGGGCCACTAATTGTGACTGGTCATACTTTTTGCCGAAATTTGCTTTCGCTAGATTGCACCAAGACACATGAGTTTAACAACTTCGCAAGCTTTTCGTATGAAACCCAAATGTGATGCCACATCTGAACGAAGAACAACGCAACAACGTTATCGGTTTGTTACAAGCAGGTGAATCCCAGACAAATGTAGCCAGGCTGCTGAATGTTTTCCAGAGTACCATTTCTCGCTTTTTGGATAGGTACCGACAGCGAAGTTCAACACGTGACAGCCCAAGCTCAGCCCAAACAAGAGTGATCCCACCTACCCGGGATCGTTACATCCAGTTACGTCACGGTTCACAACAGCGCCCTCTACTGCAGTAACAATTCCTGGACGGCGTGAGACCAGATAGTCCGTAAACGCCTACGTGAGACCGGCCTACGAGCCAGACGTCCTGTTGGAGCTGTTGTTTTGAAATACGCCGACACCGTCAAATCCGACTTCTCAATAGGTTCAGACACACAGAGATTGACCACAGCAACGCTGAAGAAGAGTTTGGTTCAGCGACGAGTCTCGATTCCTGTTGCAACGAGGCATGGTAGAGCGAGGGTATACCAACGACGAAATATCACTATGCGTTTCTTTTTTTTGAAGAGTATTATGATGTAAAAAAAGATATGTACATTAAACATTCATTATGGAGGAGCTAAATCTGCCTATTGCAGGTCTTCCTTTAGCACTGGAATGTTATCTAAATTATTAATTAGACATTAATTAACTTATCCAGGCCATAACCAACTCTCGATGGCATTGTTAGCCTGGGATATTTAGTGGATTTGTTACATTTTGTGATGGATAATTTAACGTCAAAATGGATAATCGAAACTATATTTATTATGTTACCGTTAGTAATGACGAACGAGGATCCCTAATATCTCGGTTTAGGGTGAAGCAATTTTTTTTAGCATATTCTGTTTTCATTATCTATTTATTAACTAGTATAGCGAGAACTTTCAGCTATTTATATAATCTTACCTAATGCCCCTTTAACTTCTAACTTCTTAAGCAAAGTACATTTTTAGTTGTAAGAAAAGGCCTTAACGAATGAAAGAAAATGTATCTGATATTTTTTTCCGATAAAAATGTAGTCCCCTTTATTATTCAGAGTACAACCACCTGTCAGTTAAATGCCCACCAGGAAGTGGAGGGGTGTATACACCTGTTGTCCAAGGAATGGAACTAAGAATATCGTACAAGGTTATTATATACGTGTGTACATGCTGAGACGCATTCGTTCATTAAGTTTCTTACTAAGCGTCATTGTGTTCTTAAGCTTGCAATTAAAAAGAGAAGCTCAAAAGTTACCCACATAATTGTTTATACTAGTATTATAAATGTTTCAGAACAGAGAAGTTGTACGTAACATACCTTTTTCGGATTGCGTAAAAAACCTGATTGGACAAATGTTATCATTTTTTCCGGATGACAGACCAACGGCAGATGAAATCATGGATAAAGTGAAATCATGTGAAGATGGGTCTGAAGCAAATGCCCATTCAGATGAGCGAAAACTGACGAGACAACAATCAGAGTGTAACCCAAAGAGCAAAAAACGTAAGCCTACCGCTGACGAATCGTGGTTTCCTAGAAATATCGATTTGTCTAAAACATGCCCGGCAGCTCTGCATTATTCGCCGATTAACAAAAGTCAACCAACAAAAAACACAGCTCTGCATTTTTCGCCAAACAGAAGTCAACCAACAAACGATACTGGTAAGTAAAAATATATCATATTGGTTACTTTGACCTTATCAATATATGATAAGAAAATATATATATATCAATGAATAGGGTTTACTAAATGCGCACTATCTTTGATTTTAGGTGCTGTGAAAACAGTAACTAAAAGTCAACCAACAGAAAGTACTGGTATGTAAAAATATATCATATTGTTCACTTCGACCGTATCAATATAGTACGTTAACAAAATATATATGAGATAAATATTACCCTCATCGCGGGTTGATATATGGAATAACCTAAGGCCAAAGGCCGTGGGTTATTTCACATATCGACCGAGTGTATAAGGATAATATTTGTCTTAAACACCGACATCAATGTTAAATTTATCCAAATTGTAGGTGGTCCCATCATAAATAAATATCTCCAAATATCTTGACAATTACACCACAATATTTATATATATTATACCAAGCATTAAATCAGTTTCGCACATTTATAGTCATTAAATAAACGGTCATGTTGTACTCAATAAGTTATGTTCATTTAACCGAACATAAATAATAGACTGAAAAATGGTTACGAGTATCGACCATTCTCCGTTTGATTGACAGGCCGGGATAATCAAGACTACTTTTTTAAAGAAACGACAGAAAGCTGGAACAAGAAATTGAATTTAGAAACACGCACGTTAGGCAACTCAACAATTGTTTTAAGAACCTTGTAAAAGTAAAATGAAACTACTGATAGTACCATGTTCTTGCCTAACCCGATTGTTTCAGAGATATTATTTGTACTAAACCAAAAGATGCCGCTCCTAACGGTATAGTTAATGATAAAGCAATTTAACAAATAAAACGAACGTGATTTCTAAAGCTGCTGTAATAACCAAAAAGTTAAATATTACTGCTATTCGGAATCGTCAATAATAGATTTTTTACGGCTGTAATAGTTTATAGATGTGTAGAGAATTTCACGTGCGATGGCTATTTATAAACTCATAGACTCTGTTATCGCACGGGGGTTGGATGGCTGAATGGTTCGCGTGCGCGCGCTGTATCATAAAGTTTGTCATCGAGTCGACTGGCGTAGTTTCGAATCCCCGGTTGTACGCGACAAGGAGTAGGGTCGCCGGGTCCTCCGGTTTCCTCCCACTGCTAAAGTCCCCCTATGCGCAAGCGAATTATTGAAATAAAATTAAACCATATGTTAGTCCCGAAATGACCTAGTTTGTGTCGAGTGGACGTTGAACCCCATTTCTCTCCCTCTCTCTGTTATCGCACCGCGTGACTAGCCAGAAATTACTTCGAGAAAGCCACTGAAGCGTGCACATTCGCCGTTTTGAGTTCAACTTTCAGCAGAGAAAATTTTCGCTTCACGTTGCACCCTACTAATTGATAAATATAAGACAATGGTTTAGACCATATCGGCCCTGCGACTTATATGACACAATTAAGAAAACAAGTCGTAAGTTGCACGTGCATTACATTTTAGCAACCACGTGTTCACAAACTGACATTCATTTTGTACGTTGTCAAACGATTCGGGCGACGAACTGACCCGATCAAATCAGCAGGTAGAAAATATTGTTAAGATACTTTCTCAGAAAAGTATTTATCGGGTGGATCTTTCGAATAAAAGTATGTCAAATTTGGTATGGAAAGTATAGACACCCATTCTTACTAGAAAAATACTGGATTACCTGAAAAACGCCCATTGGGCAAGCACTGGGCAAAATTGTCAGGGTATCACTAAATGGCAACCTGACTGTTATCTGCCAGCTTATTGTGTGCCAGCTTAAGTGAGGGGGCGGTGGTTATTTCTTGATCAAATGGTTAGGCGGTTTTGGGGACATTGAGAGGTGTCAACGTACAAAAGACCCTGCAAATAAACGGCGGAAAAAGAAGGTGACAAAAATAATTAAGAATTTACTTAGGCCTCAATATGTATGGTAAATGTACAGTAAATAAATACATTCTGAAAAATGGACCCTCCCGTAATGAAGCTAAGTTGACAGACATTGCATCTAACAACAGCTTACTTATAGCTATAATAGGTATCCCTGGCGAATACAAAGTTTTGAGATGGAACTGAAGCAAATTTATGATAAATTAATTAGTCAGAATATGTTTTTAGTCCAAATATATCATCAAATCACAAAGTTTGTACGCGGGAATGTATCTTTAAATATCTTACAAAGAATTATTTAAAGCTAGTTAAAAATTTAATATACTCAGATATTTCGGATTGTGAGAAAGATAAAAATGATAAACGCTTTTCAATTTCGAATGACAAAAAGACGTTGGTGAATGTGCCAACAATGCCTTGTCCAAAAATACCTTACGCAGAAATCAGTGGGCTGTGAACACTTGGTCAGTATGGCGGAATAATAAAGTGAGCGAAAAATCGGTTATATTTCAGTAACGTACCTTTACCAGTTTTCGTGATCGTATAGACTTTAAATTTTCAGGCGATGTTCAGGTGGACCTCACACCAAATTTCAGCCGAATCAATAATTTTTCATTTTACAGTAGTTTAGCTTATTGCGAATAATACCGATATGGATATACTTCACATTCCAGAATTTGAGAGTTTTAAACAAGTTCTTGATGGTCAGATGAAGAAACTAAGTAACATGGGTCTGGAAAAGTTAGTGGTCCGATTCGTTTGACAACATGCATGGAGATCAAAGGAAACAACACCCCAAGGGGTTTAATTATAAATAGGGTTTAAAATAAATGCGAACTATTTTTGATTTTAGGTGCTGTGAAAACAGTAACTGAACGCCAAGTAAACCAGCCTGATGCACAATTTGAGGACGACCTTAAAGAGTGAGTAATTATAAAAAAATATAGCACAGTTCTAGACACCCTGCTTGTTATAAGAATAAAAGTCCCCCAATTCTAAAAAGAGTTATTGATTATCTCTATGCTTTATTTATTAATTGTGTTTTTTTTATGTCATTTGGGAGCCTCCTTTTCTCGGGGAGTATGGCACTGGCTAAATAACTGGAATGGTCACGGGTTCTATAAGGCTGTTGTCATTGGCCCAAAGTTTTCTGCGGTTGGGACCAAACATCGTGGCCCACCAATGGGTCAATTCCAGTCCCGGGTTAAGGCTGTGTTGTAGTGGTGTATAACTGGGGTTATTTTTAGTGCCCTAACCTGAGCTGTAGTGGTGTATATAACTGGTGTTATTTTTAGTGCCTTAACCTGAGCCTCTCGATTTAGCACTAGTGTTTACACCAGTGTCTAAACTAGTTTAATACCAGTGTTAACACTGGTGGAAAATAAAAAAAAAAGTATAACACTAGTGTTATTTTTAAACGTTACACTTTGTTTTGTCTTGTTCTAATGCATTCAATTCTTTGCATGACCTGGCCAACTAAAAAAAACAACCAGAAGAAAGGTAATATGGGAAAACTAACCGCTTCCAGGAAGTAAAGTAACTAGGATCTATGTTGAATTTTTGTAGTCTCATTTGATCATTATTCAGTCGAAATTTCCTAAAATTTCTCGTAAATTAGCAGGTCGGTGATCAACATTTCTTTGTCTTACTATTTGGCCATATATGGATAAAAAAAAAATCATTTTAAGCCTTAAAACTAAATCTAAAAAACGTAAAAGAAATTCCCTTCTTGCCGTCTGCTGTTTTACACCAGTGTTGTAAAATTACTTGAACTGAGATTGTTTTTAACCCCTAGGGGTTAGTGTTAAAGTTATTTTTAACAAGATAATATCTTTTATCAAGTTATTATTATCTAGCAAGTTTTTATGTAATTAGAAATAATATTACTCAAAGCTCCTTGTCTTTATATTTTTTCTTGTAAATTTGTTTCTTAAATCGAGAAATTGATATTGAAAATAGAGACAAATTGAGGGGCTCGGGTATAAGTTTTTGTTTGGGTAACACAGATACGACACTGTTGTGCAATTATATCCATATTTAACACAACCTCAACACCGCAGACCTTAACTCGGACTGATTTCAAATACAAAGGGAGTCTGAGGTTGAGTTAGCACAGCGGTACACCAGCATTTCCCTCAAAGCAGGCTGCATGACTTATGCACGTATTCGTTATCCCGATCGGTACAGGAAAATGGGATATAAATAACCATTTTATTTCATTTCTTTGATATTCTGGTTTTGATTTCTTTTTTTTTTAAATGCTAAATGACCATTTTGAGTACATTATGGATCAGTTCAATTTATGGGTAATGTTTAACACCCATTAGATCGGTGTAGCACTGGTGTAAAGTTATGCTAACTCAACCTGATTATATGAAATTAATCGAGTTAAGGTCTTTGGTGTCAAGATTGTGTTATACAGGGATATATTTATACAACATAAACACTATTGTCGTATCTCTGTTATCCAAATACTAACTTATACCTGGGCCCCTCAGTTTGTCTACATTTTCAGTACCAATTTCCCGATTTAAGAAAACAAAATTTACACGAAAAAACAATCAGGCAAGGAGCTCTGTGAAATATTATTTCTAATTACATAAAAATTGTTAGATAATAACTCTAACACTAACACTATCACTTCAAGTCATTTATATCAACACCTGTGTGAAACAGTAGACGACACAAAGGGTTTAATAATTTTAGGCTTTCAGTTTTAAGGTTTAAAATGATGTTTTTAGCCATAAATGGCCAAAACATAAAGCCAAGGATATGTTGATCGTTAGCCTACTGATTTACGATAAATTCCAGAAAGGAAATTTCGACTGATTAAAGGAGCTAAATCGCTAATATTCGGGACCTAGAAATTGACCCAAATGGGTCGCAACGCATATAATTATGTAATCTGATTGTATATAAACTGATTTACATTCAATTGTTTCCGTTTTGACTTTAATTTCAAATCAGTTACGTCCAGCGAAATGCGTCATGAGTCTCAATCAATTTGCAATTTCTAGCGTCTGGTTATTCCCGTCTATTGCGCATGCTCTCCAGATAAGATGGCCTACAGTTTGACATGCGATGTACCGTGGACTATGTCTAGCCGCGTTCTTTCAAGTCACTTGTTACAAATGACGCTGAAACGCACTATGGTATACGATTCGTGTACCAATGGTAAAATGTTTATTTCATCTTAAATATTGGATACTAGCAGGATACCCGGCTTCGCTCGGGGGTCATAACTCCGAAACCGGAAGTGGTATACTAACGCCACCTGGCCTATGTCACTCCCCGGTCCGAGCTACCCCTATACCCCAAATTTCAGAATCGGGGCAGACCTAGTGTAGCCGCCAACCCCGAACAGACAGACGGACAGACAAACGACAGTCACAAATATATATATATAGATATAATGTCCATAATATACGTAAAACGCTCAAAAGAAATATGATTATTTTATCAAAATCAATTGAAAAAATATCCCCAAAATCTTTTAAACCTAGCAGGATACCCGGCTTCGCTCGGGGGTCATAACTCCGAAACCGGAAGTGGTAGACTAACGCCACCTGGCCTATGTTACTCCCCGGTCCGTGCTACCCCTATACCCCAAATTTCAGACTCGGGGCAGACCCAGTGTAGCCGCCAACCACGAACAGACCGGCTTCGCTCGGGGGTCATAACTCCGAAACCGGAAGTGGTAGACTAACGCCACCTGGCCTATGTTACTCCCCGGTCCGAGCTACCCCTATACCCCAAATTCCAGACTCGGGGCAGACCTAGTGTAGCCGCCAACCCTGAACAGACAGACTTCGGTCAGGGGTCATAACTCCGAAACCGGAAGTGGTAGACTAACGCCACCTGGCCTATGTTACTCCCCGGTCCGAGCTACCCCTATACCCCAAATTTCAGACTCGGGGCAGACCTAGTGTAGCCGCCAACCCCGAACAGACCGGCTTCGCTCGTTGGTCATAACTCCAAAACCGGAAGTGGTAGACTAACGCCACCTGGCCTGTGTTACTCCCCGGCCCGAGCTACCCCTATACCCCAAATTTCAGACTCGGGGCAGATGAAGCCGCGAACCCCGAACAGACAGACTTCGCTCGGGGGTCATATCTCCGAAACCGGAAGTGGTAGACTAACGCCACCTGGCCTGTGTTACTCCCCGGCCCGAGCTACCCCTATACCCCAAATTTCAGACTCGGGGCAGATGTAGCCGCGAACCCCGAACAGACAGACTTCGCTCGGGGGTCATATCTCCGAAACCGGAAGTGGTAGACTAACGCCACCTGGCCTATGTTACTTCCCGGTCCGAGCTAACCCTATACCCCAAATTTCAGACTCGGGGCAGACCTAGTGTAGCCGCCAACCCCGAACAGACAGACAGACAAACGACAAATATATAGATTAGAAGCCTGCCTTTTCCCGGTAAGATCACAACATCGATGTTGATTTGAATTGACAAATAATTCGTGTTTTCAACGTGTAAGACTTTGGATGATATTCAGTTAGAGACTTAGCTACTTTAATGATCAAATAGATAAACTAATGAATATAGGACACATTGAGACAACATATATTCACCATAGACCCAATTACTGGTTAGGTTCTGTATGCAATAAATAATCTTCTAAAGCTTCCAACATGATCAGAAAAGAATTGAATGCGTCAGGTGGAATATTTAAAACTTGACACTCGTGTTATAGTGGGGTTATTTATATTTTCCACCAGTGGTATTAAACTAATGTATACACTGGTGTAAACACTAAGGTTAAATTTAGAGGCCCAGGTTGAGGCATGGAAAAAGAACACCAGTTATACACTACACTCGCATACCTCAGCAGATTCCAGTACCCTACATCTAGCCTCGGCTGTATGACGAAGTCCGCCATTGGAACAACTTTCAAGTTCCCGGATTACCAACGGCGTTGCCCATGACGACGCCTTTGAAGAATTTTTTATCATACAAATATTTCAAAGTCTGAACCTATTTTTCTTTCTCAAGTTTATCCGATTTTCTTCAAACAAGGACAACTTTGCACTGAAAATTCTACACACTCTTCGAACGACGCAATTATGATAACTTCTTTTTAAAAGCGGCAAGTTTTCCTAATAAGTAAACCGGAGTCGCATCGCAATTGCGTAGGCGTAGGTACATATCACTTACCGTCATACAGCCGAGGCTAGATGTAGAGTAACGGAATCTGCCGAGGTTTGCCGAGTGTTATACACTACTACGACACAACCTTGACACAAGCGTAACCCTGGACTTGAATTGACCTATTGTATCGTGGAGTATAGATTTTGTCTGAAAAATGCAATTGGCAATGTGCTGCTTTCAGTATTTATTTTTACAGTATTTTAAAGGAGAAGTTGGGAGCGGATGTCTATGAAGTTGGGTTAAATTGTATGTACCAAAACGATGATGATGACATAGCCATGGTATGAATCATTGGAGAATTTTCGCAAGCGTAAATTCTTGGTCCGTATTGCGTATCCGTACCGATTTTGCGTGTGACGTCATCAATGCGTGTGTAATTCTCATACGTGATACGACACACGGATACGACAGCACGTATCGAACAGCTTTCATACGGAAAAGGCCCCTATAACATCGTCGTCGTTTTACCCTATTTTTGTTACCTTTCGACGCTGAAATATTGTGCCGTAGCGTTTTTAAGTGTATCCTAGAACACGAAGGTATGTATTTGATGTGATTTTAACCATGATAAAGACTGAAATTTAATCATTATTTTTCATGAGCTTTTCGCGGAATTTTTATTTTTTTCCTATCTGCATGCTGGTTGATCCACGTGCTTAATGTAGAGAGGTGGGACCTTGCAAATCTGTAAAGGGGTATATACTTTCTGAAATGATACATTAGTGAAACCAAAATTTGTTGTCAAGTCGGAGTCGACGATTTTTAATGAGATTCGACCCTAATTGTTTCAAAATTTTAAATAGCTTAACAACTGTCGAGCGAATTTACTCCCTTCAGGAATTTGTATGCTAGGCACTTGACTAATACTGATGTAGATTTTGGTAGATAACTGCCATCATGCTGTAATAAGAACTAAGCTCAGCCCAGCTAGCCATACGTACGCGGCGCGAAAATCTGCCAACACTCTAAAACTACATTGGCCCAACGTAGCACGTGACGATACGGATACGTGATACGGATGGGAAAATGTCCACTTGCCAAAAGTCTCTATTAACTTCAGAACACTTTCGTATTTAAAGTAATGGGGTTGTAGGTGGGCGGTGTGGAAGTGTCACCTTGTAAAAGATGTGGATGTCTTGGAGAAATTGTTGCGGCATATGACTTCGGAAACTGTTAATGTAAGCTAAGATAAGGAATAAGGATATAGATAATAGATATAGAAAGACACAAACTTACTACGTTATAAATATGAAAATTGTACTGTATGCTATCATACGTATTTCATTGCAGACTGAGTTAAAGGGAGCAATTGGAGATGAAAATTATAGAGAGTTTGATGTTTTCTTTGCTAAACTACGTTCCATTCATGTCAACAGCATGGGGACCTTGTCATATACCAAACGGTAATTTATAAATGAATTGGGAATTCCCTAATATGTTGGTTTTAATAATTGACATATTTGGTTTAATGTATATTACCGTTATTGATCGGACTATAATTTAAGCATTATTGCAACATTATCTCCATTATTTAAATTATTAAACGAGTATGATTAAAATAATATCAAACATGTGATTTATTAACTTTTGGACCATTTAAACAGCCACCTACTGAAACAAGACTCCATTCAGTGTTTTAAAAACATATATGAATTGGAAGAAAACAATCCTCTGCAGATGGTACTATCAAGTCCGATGGGTAAAATCTTTTGATGGGACTCTTGTTAATCTCATTTAATCCATATCTGGGGATTATCTACCGTTGATATGTTTTTGATTTTTTTTTAACTCAAATTTTAGATAATCAATTTGAGTACTATTTTGTGTGGATTACACTTTAAAAACATTTAGTGTCTGAAATGTGCTGGTTTATGGTTTTTATTTTTACAGTTTTTTAACAAAGCAGTTAGGGGATGTTGTCTTTGAAGCTGCTTTAAATTGTATGCATCAAAACGATGATGAAGATAAATTCATGGTATGAGTCTTTAACATTATAACACTTCTATATTAAAGGAATGGGGTGCAGTTATGTAAATATAGCTTTGTCATAGAGGTGGTGGCTTCTAGGGTGTGTTACAGAAAAGTGTGTTGCTGTGACTTAGGGAAACTGTTACTGTAAGCTAGAATAACGAAACATGTGATGCTATTGAATCAAGGCGAGATGCTGCTAAAATACTAATAAAACTGCCGCATGCGAAACAACTGAATTCCAACCAAACATGCACACAAGGTTATATTATATTCTGATATTTTACTTTTAAAAGTTACGGTGGCATTCATGATTTTATTCTTCTATTGTAGGCAGAGTTAAAGAGTGTAATTGGAGAAGACCATTACAGCAATTTACATACATTCTTTGCTAAATTGCGTTCCATTGATCGTCACTAACATGCCGGTCGTTATTTGTTATTGTTATTTTTGAACTATTTTAAATTCAAACGTTTAATTGCCCCCTGTGATATACGATACTAATCTTTTTGATGCGGCATTTAGTTAATCAAAATTTGGTTCATACGTGTATTATTATTCGTCTTAAAGAACGTCATTTCCGCAAATTTAATTATTAACTTGTTAATGACATTACTGTCTTCTTTTTAACATTAAACCCGTCAGTTTTCTACAATAATGTATTTCAATTATATTTATTTACCGGAATTATCTCACTGTGATTTGTTTATATTTATATACGTTTTCTACATTGTGTTTAAATTATATTCATTTACCGGATTATTCTTTCTAAATTTAAAACTGTGATATGTTTATGTATGTTTTATATATTTTTGTTTACCGTATCGGCTATTTTAGGCTACTATTAAATTGTATTTAGTCGATATTACTTACATTGATATTACACATTATACAATTAATTATCATTGATGTTATGTTTATGTATATCATTATGCATTTAGAATGAAATGAATATCGATGTTGTCACATCCGATTAAATATTCATTATAATGTCCATATTCATATTGTGGACGTATATTGCCATCGCCTCTGTGTGTGTGTCTGCGGGTCGCCTACAGGCCGCAATTTATAATAGGTTGTCTTAAAACTTTGCATACTTATTCCTTATACCCTAAGGATGACCCCAATTGTTTTGGTGCATGCCCGACACCAAACGGCAGAATCACGCCCATTTGTATTATTTGTTGGTATGTCGTTTACAGGCCGCATTTTTTAACGATCATCTTGAAACTTTGCATACATATTCCTTATACGCTAAGGATCATCACTATGGTGTCTGTGTGTCGTCTATAGGCCACAATTCTTAATGGATCGTCTTGGAACATTGTATATTTATTCCTTATAGCTTTAGGACGGCCTATTGATTTTGGTGCATGTCCCAATCCCCAGGGGCAGCGCCACACCCAATTTTTGTGTTTATCATATATAGGCCGCAATTGTGATTTGTGAATGGGTCACCTTGGAACTTGGAATATGTATTCCTGTAGCCTAAGGACGGCAACTACTAATTTTAGTGTATGCCCAGAGCCACACCCATCTTTTTGTTTATCGTCTAAGGCCACAATTCTGAATGGATTATCTTGGACCTTGGTGTATATACCCCAAGGACGACTACTATTGATTTTGGTGCATGATCCGCCCGGCTTGGGCGGTGCCACACACACTTTTTGTTAATATTTTGTCTGTAAATAATCTACAGGTTGCAATTATTAGCATACTTGGATCCAATTCGGCATGATCTAATAATAGGGTTGTACCTCTTCATATTGTTACATATATCCACCCCATAGGGGCCGAGTCGCGCCCTATTTTTTTGTTGATCGTCTACAAACTGCAATTCTGAATGGATCACTTTGGAACTTTGTATATTTATTCCTTCTACTGTAAAGACATCAATTACTTATTTTGGTGCATGCCTCAACCCAAGTAATGTGGACGTATATTGCAGCGGTACCGATGCTCTTGTTTATTATATTGGCTGTGTGGATCTAGCCTTCGAATCAAGTATGTGTATACAGCATTTGATTAAAAATTGGTTATAGTACTGATACTATCAACCAGCTTCACAGCCTGTCTTTGTCTTCACAGACCACCCACTTATTAAGAATATTCTGAAGTGTTTGATTGTATCCACAAACCCTTAAAATTAACGTGTTTTCGAAATATTTGAATTGTTGATTTATAACAAGAAGTTGACTCCTTTGCATTTGATTTAAATTACAAAAAATAAAGTAAGTATTTCTCAGTCGCTTACAAATACCTGAAGCTCTGTGGTAATTTTTTCGAAAAAATACGAGTGGTTTCTTGAATTTGTGCTACAATGTCTGAATAACCATGTGCAAAAGTTTGGTGTTTCCGTTTATCAGGTCACACACGTTAGCAATAGGATGTGTAGAACCCGTTAAGCAACTTTCACCATCCACTGCGTACGGGTCAATATTTTAATCCGAAACTATCCAGCACGGTATAATGGCTAGATGGTACCTTGTGACATTCCTCCTTTAATCTGTGCCTGTCAACTATTTTAATTTACAACTTCTCCTTTTGATGAAGTTCACCATGGACACTTCCCTGCAAAGACATTGTGTCTAATCCAAAAGCTGGACCAAGCCTATTTTTGAGGGTTTTTTTGGGAATTATCTTAGGAAACACTTGTCTACGACATCACCTTTGGTGGAAGTGGACGTAAAACTCCAGGAACGAGCGAAGGAGATCGTCGCAATCCGGGAGAAAGGTTTGTAAATAGTACATACTACTTGTAACGTACAGGCTGCAAGTCTAGATTATTCAAATGTTTAGGCAAAAAAAAAATATCTTCGTAATTCTGTGGAAAGTGCAAGTCTGACGTACGTTTCAGTGCGTCAGTAGTGCTTGTGGAGTACATGTGACTTACGATTAACCCCTTTCGCGGAACAGAAGTACGACCCGCACTCGTTATGCACGTGGCGAGCGAGTAGTGCATATTAATGTTTTGTCTCTGGCATATCGACCAAAGAAAATTAATATTTTCATTTAGATAAAACATTGGGCCAAAGAAGAAGGGCTCAAATGCTCTTCCAGAGATAGGACTAATAGAGGGGCACCCGGAAGTAGAATTCTTCTTGGTCTGCATCAGCCGCTTGTGAGGGCTCATGAATCCTTGGATCACTCTTGTTCACCTACGTGGTTTCAACTGCAGAGTCGACAGGATGCATCTCAATCGGTGTGCCAGAATGCCAAAAATACGTTGTGATCTTGTCATCCCACGAAGGCTGTAGGGCTGCCTCTGCCTGCATCACCAAAGTTCCAAATGGGAAGGCGTTATCTCCAACCAACGACACACCTCAGGTACAAACATGCGAATGGTATAAAAACTCAAGTGAATTGTAAACTTAGATGTGGTATTCTTCCTCTATCAATAGAACAGATCGCTATTCTAAACCCCCAATTCCCCTAAATAATCGCATATGTCCCTTGCACTCGTCGTGTGTCGAAAACGAAATCCATTTTTTAATTGAATGTGATGTTTACTCAGATATCCAAAAGAAACTATGTGTAAATTAGGATGTTAAGAATATATCTTCAAAAGAATTGTTTTTAAATATTTCTAAATCTTTTAAAAATGAATAATAACATTACTCTTGCTAATTGTCTTTTAAACATGTTAAAACGAAGGAGAAGGTTAATCTGAATGCATTTTATTACTTTATTAATTATATTTAGTTATTTAGTATTTTTAATGATTTGATTTTAGAACAAATGGGCTGGACACTGCTATTATTTTATGTACATTTTATGTAATGTATATATATTATTGTATGCCGTGTGTGACAGTATAATAAACTAATTACTTTCTTACTTACTATTTCCTGTAGCCAGGAATCGGATGGTAATGGCCAGTTTCAGCGCATACTGAAAAGGAAGGTGGCTTCTTTAACCCTTGGTAATGCGAGGTGTGAGGAGGCATCCCCATGTACACCACAATGTCTCTTCGCGACTCCCTCTCTAGCTCTTCGAATAGGTTGTGATATTGACCAAATATCGGCGCCGTTCAATCCATGGGCGTACCCAACACCGCCTCTGTCCCCCGCCTTCAATATTCCTGTATTAGATGCCTGTAAAAGTTCCCCAACCTTAGTCGTGTAGGTATGGCGACAATAATATTTGAGCTTTCTACAATCTCCCAAGTATATTGTGCAGGTTTTGTGCACTGATTACACGTCACACACAGAGGTAGTAAGTGAGATGCACTTCTGATCTTCGGGTCACAATGATACTTATTCCTGAGGTCTAATGCACGCCACCCGTACAAAGGTCGGGCATCAGACGTTGTCTCACTGTCATCGCAAAGCCCGCATTTACCGTGCTCCTGGCTTGATGCAGGCGCACAGCAAGAGTACGATCCTTGTACGTACTGTATGCGTTTGTGATTTTTCGCAAGACCCGTAGAATTTGCATGTGCAGGACCAAACGTTTTTATGGCCAGTCTGCGACCTTCTATTCCGAACAAATGCAATTGACGCGTAAGTCTTACACATGGATTTACTCAAATTTCCCGCGTAGACTGCCCATAGTAGCACGTACGGCGGGTTATGACCTAGGCTTAAACATACATTATGCAATAGCTAAATCTGCCTATTGCAGGTCTTTCTTTGGTACTGAAACGTTATCTAAATTATTAATTAGATATTAATTAACTTATCCACACCATAATCAACTCTCGATGGTATCGCTAGCCTTATATGTTTATTGGATTAGGTTCCGATTTGCTGTTTGACTTCCATTCATGATTTAATCACGAAATGGATAATCGAGACTATGTTTTTATTGTACCGTCTTTAGTAATGATGATCGAGGCTAGGCCGAACATTCAATTGCTAAAAGCTGGGTTCAGAGAGGATCAATTTGACTGAAATTTTCAGCAAATTCCCTTTACATTATCTAGTTTTTAACTATTATAGTGAGAACTGCCAGCTCTTTATATACTCTCCCATAATGTTTCTTTTAGATGTGTTTTTTGTCTTTTCTATTTATAGCTGGAGATAATTTTGTAAATGAATATCGCTGAAATATTCATTTGGCTATGTTACATTGTATAACTATCGGTATATTTACATAATATGTATTTCATTGTAATAACTAAACAGTTTGACTTAAATCAATATGGCTCATCTTGAATTTCACTCCAGATTATTGCATAATCTGGTTTACCTTGTTATGCGCCCACATTTTCATGTGGACGTATATTGTCGTCGCCCCTGTCCGTCTGGACGTCCAGACGTCCGTCCGTCCACCATTTGTTTGTGGACTCTCTACAGGTCACAATTCTTATCCGATTTTGACAAAACTTAAAATATAGGTATATCTCCAAAAGATCTCGGCTACTATCGATATTGGCATGTATTGGATTGAAACTTCATGGATTATGACCCCGGATTGTACGAAAAATCACGTTTTTAGCTTGTGGACCCTATAGAGGTCACAATTTTAATCCTATTTTGATGAAACTTGAAATGTAAGTTTATAACCAAAAAATCTCGGTTCCTTTCGATATTCGCGCATATCGGACTGTAACTTCCTGAATTATGATCCAATGGAGGTCACAATTTTTATCCGATTTTGATGAAACTTAAAATGTAAGTTTATAACCCAAAGATCTCGGTTCCTTTAGATATTCGCGCATATCGGATAGTAACTTCCTGAATTATGGCCCCTGATTGTACGAAAAATCAAGTTCCTGTAGAGGTCACAATTTTTATCTGATTAATGTGTGAATATATCACCATTACACACTAAGATCTTGACTGCCGACTACGAGTACACTCGTAGTCATGGTTACCGCGCCTGTGCCGCTACGAGTATACTCGTAGTAAGCATTATTGACTTGGTATATTAATATAAATCCTTGGCAATGGTGATGAACCGTATTATATGATGCGGCACTGAAAAAGAACGTTTGCTGGGGTTCTCAGGTTATGATGTAGGGCTAACTTGGCCAATTACAGACGACAGACTGAGTGTGACATTGCAATACAAATACCTATTAGAATAACTCAATTTTTATTTGTTTGACCAACTTGATTTTTGTCTATACAAATAAACTGATGCCAGTACAATCATAACAATTGTCCAGTAGTCACAATTTATATCCTACTGAAACCATTTTATTGATTCCGGAATTATTTGTAAAACAAAATTAGAGACGGGGGGTGGGGGCGTATGGGACTTTTTGAGCGTGTTCATAATTGAAGGCAATACTGGGCCTATTTTTAATTATCTATATAGGCCTCGCTTCCATTAGTGATGCCAAATGGATGAATATGCGGTAAGGTCAATAACAGCGCGAATCGTTTTCCGCACCTAATAAAAAACCTCTCCTGCAACTACTGGGAGGGCATGCTACACCAATGCGGTGATTTTAAAGATTGTGACCCGATTTGAGGCTTTCTACAACTCCCTCGTGTAATAAAACAAATGTGAAATCCAGTGCCGGATTGTGACTCTGCTGGCCCTAAGGCACATTTTGATAGGTGGCCTGAAAATACAGACATGTTGGGTTCATTGACAAAAGGAATTAAGTTAAATTTAGCAACAAAAAATTTATTACAAACAAATATTAAATTAGGGCCTACTTACGAGATTCTTTCCCACAACAAATGTAAACAAACCTCACGTGTATAAAGGGACGAAACATCATATATCAACCCTTTGTCAGAGTATGCAAAGCTTTTAAGGACAACGCGTAGATGAAGAAGGGTGCAATTTATTTACATAATAAAAATAAAGGCAAGCATTTTTGTCACCACCTGATAATTATCAAAAAAGTTTAACTTTAGTATTTTGTGGCCTGGATTTTTGGCTGGCCCTATAAGGCACGTGCCTTATTTGCCATATGGTTAATCCAGCACGGTGAAATCTTCTGAAATCCCTTCTAAACTATCGCTCCAGTCATCTATAAGTATTGGTGTGTGTTGTACACGAGGCAATGTATGCTTACTGGTTCGATACCCCCCGACACCATTTCTTATTGAAGGAATTAACATAGCTAACTCACTTTGGTCCTGCTATTGCAATAGTACCGATAATATAGCTATTCAATGTCAGTGCCGTGCTACGAGTCGTATCTCGGCATCTCTTGGAAATCGGCATTGGCCAGTGCTACACTACGAGTCGTTTGTCGGCATACGGTAAAAATGGCCATTAGCCAGTGCCGCACTACGAGTCGTAATACCGGAAATGGTCGGCAGATGTGGCGCGCACTACAAACTGGGGTCGGCAGCGAACGTGTTAATAATCGCGGATACCCTAACTTAACTTCCTGGATTATGACCCTTATTGTTCGAAAAGTGGCATTTTTAGCTTGCGGGTTCTCTAGAGGTCACAATCTTTTTTCGCCGATTTTAAAAATCGTTTAAATTTTTCATCATTCCACCATAATGAAGGTTGAAATCGAATTTCGGGAAAATCGAAATGAAACTGCCCAACAAAATGGCCGCTCTTTGTACGCAAATTGTGTAAAAGTATGCAATACGAAGGTTGTGGTCCCTCTAGAGGTCACAATTGTTATCCGATTCTGATGAAACTTAAAACATATCTTTATATCCCAAAGATTTCAGACCATAAGTTTCTGGATTATTGCCCCTGATTGTACAAAAAATACCGTTTGTTTTTAGCGTGTTCTCTATCCATCTCTTGAAAAATGTGTGCGTATCTTGCCTGGCAGCCGCTGGTTTTGTATTAGGCCGTTGGATGGGACTGGAGCATAGAAACATTGTGTTTACATCTGACTTGGATAACTTTGCATCATTTGAAACATAGAGCAACATCACAATTGTGATATTAGGTTTTCTAAAAGTATTAATTGAAATAGGGTTTAATGTCCCACTGCTCTGCTCCGACAAGGATTATCAAGGCACCTTTTTTAGATCGACAGTGGCACTACGATCTACTTTGTGTCGTAATATTATGAGTTTGGTGGTTACGAGGGTCTATTTAAAAAGAAACCTAATTATAAATGGTCTAGATGGTGTAAATATCAAAACGACTATCAAAATAGAAACCAAAATGGCGATGCATGTCCTTGTGGATAATGCTTCTAATAGGGTTTTAGGGTTACTGAATTCAATATTGGGTTCAAAACTTAATTTCAGATATAATTGTTACACATCAAATTTGTGCGTAAGCTAAAACATCAGGACACATTACAGAAAACATTTTTTCGATCAGTTTTATAAAGGCAAGGAGAGAACCCCACAGGACCCCCAATAGAGTGGGAACCCCTCGCAAGGCCAAGTTTACGGACCCTCGGTCTCCTAGTGTCTCTTGCTTGCGAAAAACTGTACTACTGTGGCAATCACAAGAGCCTGTTGTGAAATGAATAACAGACAGAAATGAACCCGTGGTATCGGCCTTGATGCTGCAAGAGACAGACCGGGGGTCGAGGATATCTAAACCATGATGTAATTCGGTTAGAGTCTCTAAACCAGCCCCTCTAAGCAATCATGTATCATGTAGTTCGGATAGCCTTTAAACTATGATGTACCCTGTAGTTCGATGTACCCGGTAGTACAGATAAGAGTCTGTAGACCATGATCCACCCTTTCATCTCTAAAACATGATGTAACCTGTAGTTCAGATTTAGTTTCTAAACCATGTTTACAATGTAGTTGGGATAACCCATAGTTTTGTAAATAGGAGGTCGATATGAATTTTACGATGTTTATCCCGAAATGATATAGCTTCTCGTTAGACTTGGTGTAGAAAATTCTAGGTACACACTGTTAACCACCCGAAATGAAATGAAATGGGGTTTAACGTCCTACTGTTTTGTTCCAGACTGGCCTAATGAAGACGGGCATACGTCATACAATGTGCTATGAGGGAAATTTTGCCCGGACAGCGGCACTACGGTCTATTCTTATATCGAATTCCAACTGTCAAGGGATCTTTTTCTTGTACGCCGATGTGTACACGGGACCTCGGTTTTTCGTCTCATCCGAATGACTAGACAGCTGTCGTTGTCATGCCCCCGTCCTGTATCACTGATAAGGGGAACCACGCCGGAAAATCAGGATCAACTTTTTCGGCCAATTCAGGGATCGAACACCCGACCTCCAAGTTAGCGAGCCAACGTCTTACACACTTAGCCACCGTGACCCCCTGTGTATCTTTTATTTTATTTTCTTATGAATATATAACAAGAATGTGCGCCTTTTGTTGTATAATAATAATAATAATAGTATGTTCAGCTATACTTTTCGATTAAAAAATGTATGTTTTATCTCCTATGTGAATCTATCCACATCCCTGTGTGTCGAGACAGCCAACTTCGACGCAACAATATAATAGGGCATATAAATAGATAGTGAGTAGGTACTTGGGACCCAAGATGGCGTCTTTGTACACTTGCTGTCATTTTTTCATTACGTCATATGAAATTTCTGGCTTCACAGTTGTCGCAACTTTATTTATATATGCGGCTTTGGGTTATCTCCAGTATTGTGGTCAGTGGACGACTGTTTAAATCCAAGCAGTATCCAAGCCATCCGAAGGTCTACAGGTCTTATGTAAATAAAGGTCTAATTAATAATTTCTATAACATCTGAAGCCTAAATAAAAACTTACAATGGACAGATTTAACTCTTGCATAATGTATGTATGTTTAAACAAATGGGATAACACCGAATGGAAATCACGCGTACTTCTAGTATTTTCACTCCGCGATTGGAATGCGGTAGGGATACACTCCGGTGAACCATTGAATAACCCGAGCGATAATTCAATGGTCATTCAAAATACACTGTCTATCCAGATTATCAAAAAATAAATTATCACAAATAACGTTAAAATTCATCATAGGTTCCGCCCTAGAAATATAGGTTCCTCCCTTTTTTCTTTCTATTTTTACAGTTGTGGGTGCCTGAAAGTGACATTATTTTGGACAAAAGTAGTACGTGTTCAAGCCATTGAATGCAACCATAGGTTATTCAATAGCTGTATTCAATGGTTGTATTCAATGATAAAAATACTAAACACACAGTATTCATCCTCACTTAACGCCTGTTATTTTTAGGATTGGTACTAAATTATTGAATCGTAATGTTTAAGATTCAAAATTCACATATTTTTGTGATATTTTTCAACTTTGCCGCTCTACTAGACAACTGGGATCTTTCTCAGACTGATTATTACCGTATTCATGCGGCGAAGGCCCCATTTTATGGAATAAGCTCCGCCTTTTATTGCTGTATATCTTTCTAAATCATGTTTTATAAAACCCAAGCATTTTATCACTTTTTTTTAAATGACCTTATTTCCGAATACATGTTGTTTTTATATTACTTAATAATAATTGTGTATCTATTTTTATCTTAGTTTTACCGTATCTTATAAAGCGACAGTTTTGTCAGTGATGTGATATATACGTGTTTTTTATAATAATATAATGCCCTTTTGTATCACTTTCCAGTTAAAATAGGCAGGCATAAGTTAATCTCTAAATGTCTTGATACGGCCCTGTTTATATAACACAGATACAAAGTTTACATTATTCTAAATATTGTTTACATCGTATTGTCGCTTTAAATATAGTACTGTCGATTTAAATAGGTTTAGTCATCGGCACATATATTCTATATAACTAAAAATCAGACGTACCTGGTCTTCTTAACAGGTAGGTAACATATAGTTAGTTTTATTATGAATATCATATGTATGTATTATGTATTTTATGAGGTTCCCAAGCCTGACTAGGGCATCGCTAACGCTGCAATATACGTCAATATTCCTGCTTTCATTGATATGGTTCTATCAAAATGAAATTCTTATACGGCATTTAGTAACTGAACATATGATATAAAACACAAATTTATATGGAAAACAAATAACTAGCTGCAATGACTGTAATATGACAAGATGCAAAGAAGGCTAGGCTTGGGTTTACTTTGCAAAATTTAGAGACTAAAATATTAACAAAAAAGTGAGTGGGTCACCGTCTAAGGGGGTCGGGGATGCACCAAAATAAAATAATTGCTGTGTTTACGGTATAAGGAATAAATATGCAAAGTTCCAAGATGATCCATTCAGAATTGCAGTCTGTAGATGATAAATACAAAAATTGGGCGTGATTCTGCCCCTGGGGATGGATTTGTAACGATATAAATAGGTACCACCCTGTTATTGAAATGATTGGTATGCTGAATTTGAACAAAATCTGTTAATAATAGCAACCTGTAGTGTATTTACAGACAAAAAATTAACAAAAAAGTGGGTGTGGTACCACACACCCGGGGGTCAATACATGTACCAAAATAAATAGTTGCTATCCTTACAGGAATAAATATGCCTAGTTCCAAGATGATCCATTCAGGATTCCAACCTGTAGACAAAAAAAACACAAAAATTGGACGTGCCCCTGGGGGTTGTACATGGACCAATATAAATAGATACAAGGCTATGATAGATCATTCCGAAATGGATTCAAGTCTGTTAATAATTGCAGCCTATATATTATTTACAGACAAAGGATTAAATAAAATGTGAGTGTGGCACTGTCAAAGGTTGGGGGGGGGGGATCATGCGCCAATATCAATAGTTGCCGTTTTTATGTATAAGTAATAAGTATACTAAGTACCAAGATAAACCATTCAGAAATGTGGCCTTCAGGCGCTTAACGCATGAATTAGGCGTGGCTCTGTCCCTGGGGATCGGGACATGCACCAAAAACCAATAGTTTGCGCCCTTAGACTATATGGAAAAAATATTCCAATTTCCAAGCTGACCCATTCAGAATTGCAGTCTGTATACGATAAACACAAAAATGGGTTGGGACATGCACCAAAATCAATAGTTGCCGTCCATAACGTAAATTATGTAAAATCTTACTCTTCAAAGCTGTAAATTATCTTCTACTAACTCCCTCTTATCTATGTTTCTGGAAAACAATACAGGGTATGTGCAGAAAAATGATCGGGTGTGGGGTGAGGGAGGGGGCATGTTCCGGTGTCACAGACCGCGGAGCGTGGAAGGGGTATGGGGAGGGGGACTCCTCCAGAAACCTTTGAAAGCTTGAAGTCGATTTCCTCGGCAAATTAGCAGGTCAGCAGTGATTGTTATTAAGTCAACCGCGGAAGGATTTGTCTATTTTAGTCCTTGTATAATATGTGAAAGTCGACAATTTATTTCATTTATTACAGTTATAGATAACAAGTTCAAGAATGCACCTTGAAATAAAACCGAGACTTTCTTTAAATTAGAAAGTGTCTCGCCTTAATGTGGACGTATATTGCCGTTGCCCGTGTATGTGTGTATGTGGTTTGCCTACAGACAACAATTCTTAACTGATAGCCTTGAAATTTTACATACTTATTCCTTATACATAAGGATGACCCCTATTGTTGTTGGTACATGCCCGACGCCAAGGGGTAGAGCCACGCCCATTTCTTGTATTTGTCGTCTACAGGTCGCATTTCTCAACCTATCATCTTCAAACTTTGCATACGTTTACCCGACGGAACAGCCCTATCGTTTGTGGTTCATGCCCACTAGTCAGGGGCAGAGTCACGCCCATTTTTTTGTGTGTCTATGTGTCGATTAATGCCCGCAATTCGTAATCGATTGTCTTGAAAACTTTTCATACTTATCCCTTATGTCCTAAGGATGACCTCTATTATTTTTGGTGCACTCCCGACCCCATTTCTTGTATTTGTTTGTTTGTCGTCTACAATCCGCAATTCTCAACAGACCCTTTTGAAACTTTGCATACCTATTCTGTATACCCTAAGGATGATTTTTGGTCAATTCCCGAATCAAAGGGACAGAGCCACACCCATATTTTCTTTGTGTGTCTGGGTGTTGCCTACAGGCCACAATTCTTAATAGGGGGATCACGTGGCTAAGTGGGTATGACGCTGGCTCGCTAGCCTGGAGGTCGGTTGTTCGATCCCTGCGTTGGCCGAGAAAGTTCATCCAGATTTTCCGGCGTGGTTCCCCCTTGTCAGTGATGCAGGACGGAGGGCCTGACAAGGACAGCTGTCTATTCCTTCGAATGAGACGAAAAACCGAGGTCCCGTGTATACATTGGAATGCACGTAAAAGATCCCTTGGCAGTTGGAATTCGATATAAGAGTAGGCGATAGTGCCGCTGCCCGGGCAAAATTTCCCTCATAGCACACTGTATGGCTTATGCCCGTCTTCATTAGCCCAGCATAGGAGCAGTACAGTAGGACGTTAAACCCCATTTCATTTCATTTCATTTTCAATTCTTAATAGGTCGTATTGGAACTTGGCATATATATTCCTTATAGCCTAAGGACGGCAACTATTGATTTTGGTGCATGTCCCAACCCATTTTTGTTTTTATCGTATACAGACTGCAATTCTGAATGAGTCCGCTTGGAAATTGGAATATTTTTTCCAAATAGTGTTAACACTTTATAGATCAGTCAACAAGGTCATATGGATGTTTCGATGCAATAAAATCTTATCTTATCTTATCTTATATGGCCGTTTCTGCGTTGATAGGGGGCTCAGTTGTGGAGATATGGACTTTAAAAGTTAGCCTACTCAACTTGATTTAAATTTTATAGATTCTTCAGGCGAATTGATCAATTTTTTAAATCAGCCTTGGCTTTAGTACACTGGATTATGCAATCAGCTTATACCTCAAATTATTTATTTTCTACTTTTTCCTGGAAGCGATGAACCAATCGACAATCATTGGTGGGCTGAGACGCACAGACCATGGGCGTTGAACTATCAGATTTGGACTGGTACACACATATCATCTGCCGGGGACTGGGACAAACATACCGTCAATGGAGGACTATGATATAATAGACATTTAGTGGTGGACTTGCCCACACAGACCATCAGTGGTAGATTGGAACACACATACCATCTGTGGTGAACTGGGACACACAAACCTTCAGTGGTGACTGGGCCACAGACCATCATTGGTGGAATGAGCCACAGAGTGTCCTACTATATTTATGTGTGGCCTAGCATGACCCATTGCCTACCTGGACTGACCCATGACCCAACTAACAATTTGTATGTATGGCCTAGGGGTTTTCGGTAATAAGTATTGTTTTTCGGTATTTAGTGATTTTTCCGTATGTTATGTTTTTTTTGGGTAACTAGTAAAAAAAAAGATTTTTCGGTTGGGGGTTTTTTTTCGGGGGGGGGAGGGGGTATTTCTCGGAGTTTTTCGGCATTTATCGAATTTTCTTTTTTAGTTTTTTTTCTGTATATAGAACAGTCGATATTATTTTCGTTCATTTCATATATTTTAAACGGGTTTTATAAAAGCCTTGATTTCGCCAACTTTAGACGTTTTGGGGAATGGTGGGGGGGGGGTCCTTATAATTAGCCAAAGGAGATCATACTCTTCGCAGTGTTTCGTTTATTAGACCTAATCCCACTCAAATACTGCTGCTATGAAAGCAAATTCCTGTTCCGAATTATGACTGGTCAATAGTCCGATTAACAACCAATACCTAACTGCATATCAAAATATTTTGGGTTTAAACAGAGCTCCAGATAGGTTTACATAACGTTACGTCATCACTCACGAAATTTATTACGCCCAATTAACCAGTGCATAGCAGAATATTGCAGAAAAACTAATTGCGTGACGAACGATGCTATAAAAACGGCTATAATGTATACAATACTGCTTGGAGACAAACAATACTTTCGATGTTTTTAATACCTTAAATCACTGTCCAAAGTTTTAGGAAAGACCCGAGATTAAACGAAGGGCTGTCATGTTGCTGTACTTAGGAGAGATTTGATTGAACGCGAAGAATATACACACTCCCTCAAAAGCTAAAGTATCAGAAGTCATTCCAGCAATGGCCAGAGAGGGATTTCTCGGGCCATTGCTTCAGGAATATGAATAAGCGTAGCAAGCTGGAAAGAGAAATTGCAAAAACCCTGAAATATCAGTCTCGAGATGACATATATATTTCGCACAAATACAAGGAGTTTACCACTGTTACACTGTTATTACTAAATATCAAAATAATCATCAATGAAACATTTCCATGGATTTGTAATTTTAATTTCAATCCTATATACAATACCACTACCAAGTATATAACCAAAGAGTGAAAGTCACGTACGCAGGGTCAATGTTGGTCTCAATGGCAACGCCTTTGATTTGTACATGAAATTGACCTTCAGAATCGAAAATGTTATGAACTATTTGGTTAAGTTTTACCGATCACATTCACATAATGATTAAGCATGATAGCTATGGGTTGCATTCTTTTATTTCAGGGCTTTCATTATAGGCAAACAGTATAAATAAGCATGACACGATACAACCTAAAATCAGACGCACTCTGAATCTCTTAACAGGTAGGTAACATATTTGTACTTATGTATAGTTCGTTTTATTATATAATATGTATTATGCATGTATTTTACTAGTGTATATGCGGTTCCTAAGCCTAAATAAATACTGACCTGCCAGGTTGCCCAAGAAAAGAAGAAAAAAAATTACCAAATTATTGTTTTCCTACAAACATAGCTAAGAGATAATTCACAACTTTGTGGTTTGAAATCTTATAAAAAAACTTACATAAATGTCTTAATTCCGCCGCGACTAGTTGAACAATTTTGTAGATTGGGTTTTTTCCTTATGATTAGTCAAATAAACGTACCAAGCCCCTTGTCATTGCTGCAGGATGGAGGGCCTGGCAAGGACAGTTGTCTACTCGTTCGGATGGGCCGAAAAACCGAGTTACCGTGTACAGATTGGCGTGCACGTAAAATATCCCTTGACAGTTGGAATTCAATATAAGAGTAGGCCGTAGTGCCGCTGTCCGGGCAAAATTTCCCTCGCAGCATACTGTATGGTCTATGTCCGTCTTCATTAGCCCAGTTTGGGGCTATCTAAATAGTGGTGGGTATCAGTATCTTTATTATTCGGATCGGTTTCAATATCACAATTCTCAGCAAGAGTTATTGTTACATCTAAAATGTTTATGGATGTACAGTGCTTTTCTCTTGTATAATTTCAGCTTGAGTTCAAGGAATTTACCACTGAATGTAATTCGTATAGTAATACACTAAATATCGTAAAATTAAATTCCAATTCGGTGTTCCATACCACTCACAGGCAAGAGTTAAATTCGCATACGTACGGTCCATTTGACGCCCTGATTTGTTCATTAAATTTACCATAAAACAACTATTTCGTTTAGTTTTACTGGGTAAATGACATACGAAATCAATATCATCACTTAAAAAGCTGTCATGTTTACATAATGGCTTAAGAATGATAGCCCGGTTTGTATTGCATTCTTAATGTCAAATGCTCTTATGGACCTCCTTAGGTAAATAAGCATGAATCGGCGTCTCTGTTGTTTTCATTAAATTGTATTGGTCAATTTTATACGCCCGTTATGTTAGCAATTGACTTGCGTACACGATAGAGGCTCCAGTTTTTGACGAATCTCTTTTCCAAATTTTGATGTCTATATTTTGACCCCCACCCCGAACCCTACATACACACTGCACTTTTAACATAATTTTTCCAAGCTTGTGAACACAATAGAGATCGGATTTCTTGAGCGTATAAGAATCCCATGCCTATGTATTATTAAGCGACGTGTGAGAATGATGCGCTATACGAAATGAAATGAAATGAAATGGGGTTTAACGTCCTACTGTTCTGCTCTTAAACTGGGCTAATGAAGACGGGCATACGCCATACAGTGTGCTATGAGAGAAATTTTGCCCGAGCAGCGGGCTACGGCCTACTCTTATATCGAATTCCAACTGCCAAGGGATATTTTACGTGCACGCCAATATGTACACGGGACCTCGGTTTTTCGCCCCATCCGAACGACTAGACAGCTGTCCTTGTCAGGCCCTCCGTCCTGCATCACTGACAAGGGGAAACCACGTCGGAAAATCTGGATGCGCTATACAGGTGTTTAATTATAATAATAATAACTAGAACTCCAAAGAGTACTGTCGTGTTTCACCATGCATTACTGAGTATAGTATTATAAAGCAATTGTATTTTTATTTTTTTACCAACATTACACTATGGATAATAAGGGATTTCAAAGGCAGTAATATAAAATTTACTAATATTATACATATCGGAAAGTTTTGACAAGATGTCAATAGCCGTTATCAAGCATACACAATTTAAATGCGCAGAGATGCGAAAGATTTATCTCTACACACAGTTGATAATAACGTAATTCTACAAGAAACAATTGACTATATAAGCGTGACGAATCTTTATTCGCCCGGGGTCCAGACCCAATTTGCCCGGGGCTCAAATTCGATGATCTAAAACTTTCACGGAGTCATGCTGGTTACTTTGATAACACATACATGTTAGTGCAGGGCGGCGACGAAGCGTGAATTGCCCGGTTCCAAACTCAATGGCCTAAAACAGTCACGTGTTCATTCTGGTTATTTTCGCAATACGCAAAATAGGGATTTGGATTTTATGTCTTCAAACAAGGTATGCCGTTGTGGCTCATTTGCCATGGTGTTTACTCGGTAACCACGAGGTCCAGTGTTCGGCAAAAAAGTTCCTCGTGGATTACAATTATTCACACAGTACGTTTTGACAAGATTCCAATAGCCGTCATCTCAGAAAAAAATGGGCTATACCTGCTACATTCGCGAATAAGTATTTAGATAATTAAAATATGAGTAAGATAATCATAAGAGAAAAACATCGGGTATGAATAACACACCGTGAATACAAGTGATACCGGATTACATAACTAAGTTAACATGTTATGCAGAGCTAAATCTGCCTATTGCAGGTCTTTCTTTCGGCCTGAAATGTTTTCTAAATTATAAATTATCCAGGCCACAATCAACTCCCGATAGCATCGGATTTCTCCGATATTAAATACATAAGAACAGTTCAGTCATATTTTGATTTAAGCTAAAAATGGAGGAGCAAGACTTAGCTTCGAACAACCAGTACGGTGGTTGAAATTATTCCACACGTCTTGTCAAACCTTCAAAGGTTAATATCTTCGCTCGCAATAGAGTAATATGAATGGAATTTTCGAATTATTCATTTTACATTATCTATTTTCGAACTATTATAGCAAGAATGGCTAGCCCTTTATCTAAATCTTACATAATGTATTAATAAACGAAAAAACACATCGCCTCCGGCATGTTACACACGGACGTCAGTGAGAGCACCATATTTACATCTACAGTTGATTCATTTTCAATATCTTTCATCTATAGGTCTACTAAATTTACTATTTTTGCTTACGAGTATAGAACATTTTGAAATTATTTGTCAGTAAACGTCCGGGTCATCATATATGCAAAGAATTGTTGCCATAGTAGGTTCAAAAAAAAGCTTTTCGAAAATCGGACTCAAAATGGCGACTGAATATTAATTTGAAGGGTTTTGTTTTAAATCCAATATGGCGGCCAAATGGTCTAACACCACCATGTGTCATTTATAGTCTATTTTTAAAATGGAGAGAATTATTCACGTTCGGGAAAAATCTGAACGCCTCGTAAATTTCCGGAAGCCGTCACATAATTTTTTAAATGCCATTTGGAAGACATCGATGTGTTCCATATTCCTACTAAGTTTCAACTTGATACCTCAAATAGTGACGGAGATATGCCATCTTGAATGTCGAAAAAATGATGAAGAAAACTTTCGCAAATCTTTGATGCTAATATTAATCGAAATTTCCGAATTTCTAAACACCCTTAGAGCCCATATGTAATTCGTCCAAAGAATCAAAAATCCAAAATTGACCCATATTTAATAAATAGATGCAAGGGGGCCAACCACATCTACGTTGGCAGAATGTTTGCATCAGGTACAGTTTTGGCTGCATAGACTGACTAAATTCCACACACACGAACAAAAATAAAAACACTTATAGAAACAATACGTGTTTCGAGCGAAGGTAATAAGAACACTTATGAAAACAATACATGTTGCGGACCTTCCTCTGAAACATGTAATAAATACTCTTACGAAAACAATTAGTGTTTCGACCGAAGGTACGTAACTAGATCTGGCAAGCAGATATGAAAGCTTTCAAATTCACGGTCACTTCCTGTCACATGTCATGGGTTATATAACAAGAATTTTTTTTAATTAAAATCGGTTAAAACAATTCAAATGGTGCCCATGGGTTGACCTAAATCAAAATTCTGCTCTGAACGTTTTTTAGGCATTCCTTATAGGATTAAGAAAATGTAAAGTAAAATATCGCAAAAGCCTTAAGGATTTTTCACGTTTCAAGATGGTGGTACTTCTGGTTCCATGTACGCATCATTATTTCATGGCAATATGAGTAACTTTTTGTAGATTTTATTTTTAAAGACTTTGATCCTTAATTTATCCAAGGGGAGATAAGTTAGATCTCCTTACATTCCAAATTTCATGAAAATCGTGCAAATAATAAAGAAGTTGTAAAGTTGATCTCAACGTCCGGGACGAAAACACAGCGGACGAATTTTCGAAATTCGAAAATTGCAGGTGAAAATCATTATGTCAAGGTACTCAGAGAAAAATGAATTGATAAAATAGGTCAAATATCCACAAAGTTACGACTATGTATCGTCAGTTCTTTCGTTCGTAAAACTCGGTGAATTCGCATTCGTAAAACGTTTTGAAAATATATTCAATCAAAACTCACCACCAATTTCGGTCAACTGGCCGTCACTATTTTGAATTGAATATAAAAAGTCAAAAATCCACGTTAACGGCCGTTAAAATAAACAATTCATCTCCTATTTCCGAAATGAATACATTTCAGGATAGCCGAGATAAGATTCGAATTTTTGGTATTTCAAAATTTCGAATTTCGCCTTTGACCTTTTTCGTATCGACAAAGCTATTTAATTACTTAATTTTCAAAATTTACTGATTTGACCTAAAATCTGGTCTGACCGTTTGTTAGGCATTCCTTCTAGGATTCAGAAAATGTAAACCCCTATATCTGTCAGTAAAATATCGCAAAAGCCTTAGGTATTATTCACGTTTCAAGATGGAGGTACTTCCGGTTCGATAGATAGACGTCATATTTTGTGTCACACTGATCATCAGTGAATATTCGCTAGGCCGCTACAATCACTGATTTGACCTAAAATCTGGTCTGACCGTTTGTTAGACATTCCTTCTAGGATTCAGAAAATGTAAGCCCCTATATCTGTCAGTAAAATATCGCAAAAGCCTTAGGTATTTTTCACGTTTCAAGATGGTGGCACTTCCGGTTCGATAGATAGACGTCATATTTTGTGTCACACTGATCATCAGTGAATATTCGCTAGGCCGCTACAATCACTGATAAGGATGGCATCGATGCGACTTAATGAGTCACAAATATTAACTT